TCCCCCCTCTCCCCCCGTCCCTCACCACCCCCTCCTCTCTCTCCCCCCCCTCCCTCTCTCTCCCCCCTCCCTCTCTCTCCCCTCTCTCCCCGTCCCTCAACCCCTCCTCTCTCTTTCTCCCTCCTCTCCCGCCATCCTCTCTCCCTCTTTCGTTCTCTCCCTGCCTCCCCCTCCACTCATCTCTCTCTCGCCCTCTCTCTCTCCCACAGACAGGCAGACAAACAGACAGACAGGCAGACAGACAGACATGCCGACACAGACAGACAGACAGGCAGGCACACATACACACTCACCCACTACATACACTCACACACACAAAACACACACACACATGCATATTGACGCTACACATGCACAAACACTCACACATAGACACCTTTCACACTCCTCACACATGCTGCTGCTACTCTGTTTATTATCTATCCTGATTACCTAGTCACTTTTACCCCTACCAGCATGTACATATTACCTCAGTTACCTCAACTACCTCGTACCCCTGCACATTGATTCAGTACCGTTACTCCTTGTATATAGGCTCATTATTGTTATCTTATTGTGTTAATATTTATTTATTTTTTTGTGCTAATTTTTCTTACTTTTTAACTCTGCATTGTTGGGAAAGGGCACCTAAATAAGCATTTCACGGTAAAGTCTACACCTGTTGTATTAGGCACATGTGAAAAATAAATTTGATTAGATTTTTTATTTGGTAGACAGGCAGTGTATTGGACACAAGGGTCTTTCAGTTCTAGAAACTAAGAGCCTTGTTATGAATTCTTGAATGAATTCTGAAGAGGATATTGGTCTTTTTTTTTTAGATTGACTTGAAACTTGAATATGTCTGTCTGTCTGTCTGCCTGTCAAAAATGCTGTTGTTGCCACAGGAAGCTGAACCTCAATACAGGGCATCCCTATATGGTCATGATTGGTTGTCTGCAAGGACGGTTAGCTTGCTCAATCGCAGTCAACAGGGGCTTCATGGTTATGTAAGGGTTGTAGGTAATGCTTATCTATGGAAGAAAAGCCTTGTTCTCTGTGAAGAGTTAATTTTACATGGCCAGGTGTAGGCTTGCGTTCATCGGGAGCGTCTGTTGAACGATCCCGTGTGAATTTTGTTTCTAGCCTCAACCGTTATACCGATGTCACTCAAAAGCACATTAACTCTAGATCAGGCTTCAAGTGAGGCCTACCTTTCTGCCATGTAGTGGGGAGAGGCAAATCAATGAATTGTTAATTGTTTTAAGGTTTGGGTTATGTCTAAGGTTTAGACCCTAACCCTAACTTCATGTCCACTTCCCGGCTCAACCCTAAACCTAGCCTCAACCCTAACCCTAACCCTAAACCTAGCTTCATATCAACTCCCGGCTCAACCCTAACCCTAACCCTCGCTTCATCTCCACATCTTTACTCAATCCTAGCCATAACCCTAGCCATTACCCTAACTTCTTGTCCACATTCTGGCTCAACCCTAACTCCAAGATCTGAGCCAAGATGTGGGCTAGGGCTAGGGTTAGGGTTGAGCCAGGATGTGGACATGAAGCTAGGGTTAGGGTTAGGTTTAGGGTGGAGTTTAGAGTGTGTCTGCCTGCCTGTCTGTGTTTATATGCCTGTCTCTCTCCTCTCTCTCTCTCTCCTCTCTCATCTCTCTTCTCCACATCTCTCTCTCCTCTCTCTCCTCCTCTCTCTTCCTCGCTCCTCTGTCTCTCTCTCTCTCGTCTGTCCTGCTCCTCCCCCTGTCGTCTGTCGTCTGGTCTTGTCTGCCTGTCTGTCTGTCTGTCTGTCCTTGTCTGGTCTGTCAGTGGAGATGTCCTGTCTGTCTGTATGTCTGGTTCTTTCACCCAATTTTCTCAATTGCAGTTTCGATCAACCCCACCTTTTGCCTTGAATGCAATGTATTGACATACGCGCCAATACCCTGTGTACCCTCCCATGTCTGTGGAGGTGGGAAAGTGGAAAGAGAGGTGGAGGTGGGAGAGAGAGAGGGAGAGAGAGGAGTCAAATCTAAAAATGTCAAGCAGAAAACCTAAGAAAATTAACAACAATGACAAATGGTTTGATGAAGACTGCAAAAACCTAAGAAAGAAATGGAGAAACTTATCCAACCAAAAACATAGAGACCTAGAAAACCTGAGCCTACGCCTTCACTATGGTGAATCACTAAAACAATACAGAAATACACTACGGAAAAAGAAGGAACAGCACGTCAGAAATCAGCTCAATGTAATTGAAGAATCCATAGACTCTAAACACTTCTGGGGAAAATTATCTATCCAAAATGGACATGTATGGATAAACCAGTTCTCCAATCGTTTTGGCCCTATAACAAAGAACAAACAGCAAAAACATATACAGGTTCAAATACAAATCTTAGAATCAACTATTAAAGACTACCAGAACCCACTGGATTCTCCAATTACATTGAATAAACTACATGACAAAATACAAACCCTCCAACCCAAAAAGGCATGTGGTGTTGATGGTCTCCTAAATGAAAGCTCTGGCATCTTCCACAACATTTTGGAACCAAGGACTGATCACCCCAATCCACAAAAGTGGAGACAAATTTGACCCCAATAACTACCGTGGGATATGCGTCAACAGCAACCTTGGGAAAATCCTCTGCATTATCATTAACAGCAGACTCATACATTTCCTCAGTGAAAACAATGTACTGAGCAAATGTCAAATTGGCTTTTTACCAAATTACCGTATGACAGACCATGTATTCACCCTGCACACCCTGAATGAAAACAAACAAAACAAAGGCAAAGGCAACGTCTTCTCATGCTTTGTTGATTTAAAAAAAGCTTTTGACAGTCTGCAGCAGTCGGCCTCACCCTACTAGAATCTGAAGTCAAATGTCAGCTGTTTGCTGATGATCTGGTGCTTCTGTCCCCAACAAAGGAGGGCCTACAGCAGCACCTAGATCTTCTGCACAGATTCTGTCAGACCTGGGCCCTGACAGTAAATCTCAGTAAGACAAAAATAATGGTCTTCCAAAAAAGATCCAGTTGCCAGGACCACAAATATCTAGACACCATTGCCCTAGAGCACACAAAAAACGATACATACCTCGGCCTAAACATCAGCGCCACAGGTAACTTCCGCAAAGCTGTGGACGATCTGAGAGACAAGGCAAGAAGGGCCTTCTATGCCAACAAAAGGAACATAAAATTCTACATACCAATTAGGATCTGGCTAAAAATACTTGAATCAGTTATAGAACACATTGCCCTTTATGGTTGTGAGGTCTAGGGTCCGCTCACCAACCAAGAATTCACAAAATGGAACAAACACCAAATTGAGACTGCATGCAGAATTCTGCAAAAACATCCTCCGTGTACAATGTAAAACACCAAATAATGCATGCAGAGCAGAATTAGGCCAATACCCGCTAATGATCAAAATCCAGAAAAGAGCTGTTAAATTCTATAACCACTTAAAAGGAAGCGATTCCCAAACCTTCCATAACAAAGCCATCACCTACAGAGAGATGAACGTGGAGAAGAGTCCCCTAAGCAAGCTGGTTCTGGGGCTTGCTTAGGGGACAGCAACACAATTAGACCCAACCAAATCATGAGAAAACAAAAAGATAATTACTTGACACATTGGAAATAATCAACAAAAAAACAGAGCAAACTAGAATACTATTTGGTCCTAAATGGAGAGTACGCAGTGGCAGAATACCTGACCACTGTGACTGACCCAAACTTAAGAAAAGCTTTGACTATGTACAGACTCAGTGAGCATAGCCTTGCTATTGAGAAAGGCCGCCGTAGGCAGACCTGGCTCTCAAGAGAAGACAGGCTATGTGCACACTGTCCACAAAATGAGGTGGAAACTGAGCTGCACTTCCTAACCTGCCAAATGTATGACCATATTAGAGACACATATTTCCCTCAGATTACACAGACCCACAAAGAATTAGAAAACAAACCCAATTTTGATAAATTCCCATATCTATTGGGTGAAATACCACAGTGTGCCATCACAGCAGCAAGATTTGTGACCTGTTGCCACAAAAAAAGGGCATCCAGTGAAGAACAAACACCATTGTAAATACAACCCAAATTTATGTTTATTTATTTTCCCTTTTGTACTTTAACTATTTTCATATTGTTACAACACTGTATATATACATAATATGACATTTGAAATGTCTTTATTATTTTGGAACTTTTGTGAGTGTAATGTTTACTGTTAATTTTTATTGTTTATTTCACTTGCTTTGGCAATGTAAACATGTTTCCCATGCCAATAAAGCCCTTAAATTGAAATGGAATTGAATTGAGAGAGAAGGGTGAGAGAGAGAAATAGATTAGAAGGAGAAGGTGAATGAGGGATGGGAAAGATAGAGAGAGGAGGGAGAAAACTATATAAGGGAGGGAGGGAGACATGTCTGTGATGCCTTTCTTTATGCGTCCATATTGTAAAGCTAATCTTACCTCATTGAATGAAATGTATTCACTTAAGCATCAACCCTGTGACACTAATCTTTTCCCATTGACTGCAATGTATTGACATAAACGTCAACCCTGTGACACTCATCTTTTCCCATTACATTTACATTTTAGTCATTTAGCAGACGCACTTATCCAGAGCGACTTACAGTTAGTGAGTGCATACATTTTTCATACTGGCCCCCCGTGGGAATCGAACCCACAACCCTAGCGTTGCAAGCGCCATGCTCTACCAACTGAGCTACACGGGACCTACATTGACTGCAATGTATTGAGAAAAACGTCAACCCTGTGACGCTCGTCTTTTCCCATTGACTGCAATATATTGAGAAAAACATAAACCCTGTGACACTCGTCTTTTCCCATTGACTGCAATGTACCAGAGTCTGTCTTACCTAGAGCCCTGCATGTCTGCTTGAGTGTGTCACTACCGAAGGAGAGATTGTGTGTGTCAGTGTGTGTGTGTTCTTGATATACTGCCACCATGGCTGAGAAGCTGTTGATGTCCTGTTGTAACAGGGTTCCACTTGCTTTCCCCAGCCCTACTTCTCCTTCCCACCCCTCACCGGCTGTCTCGCCATGTTCCGGCGGAAAAAGAAGCGGAGGCCGGAGATCTCGGCGCCACAGGACTTTGAGCATCGGGTCCACACGTCATTCGATGCGGTGCAGGGGTGCTTCGTGGGCCTGCCGCCCCAGTGGCAGAGCGTCATCGACATCCTGAGGAGACCCAAACCGGTGGTGGACCCATCCCGGATCACCAATGTGGAGCTTAGGCCCAAGAAGGTACAGTAAGGGAGCCTCATGCCCTATCACTATCATTATCATTATTATTATTATTATTATTGACAAATTAACTCTAAAGGCAGTGTTATTTTTTCAACACTCGAAAGTGTTAATTTAACACTGGATCAGATGAGCTAATATTTGCACTGAAAGTGTTATTTTAACACTGGATCAGAGGAGCTAATATGGGCACTCAAGTGTTATTTTAACACTGGATCAGAGGAGCTAATATGGGCACTGAAAGTGTTAATTTAACACCTTCAGAGTTAAATGTACACAAGTGGATTTGCTGTGGTCAACTACTGTGCATTGGATGTTCAGTTTCACCTGTCCCAATTCAAGTAAATAACAATGATGATATCTGCATGCTTCTGTGTATTCAGTGTTTCACGCACACCCTTTATTATACAGGACTAAGGTAAATATCTGTGTATCTTTATACATACTGTATATGAAAACCATTGGTGAGAATACACACCTGTTTTAGCACTTACGTTTCTGAGTTACTTGGAGTGACACCAGGACATGCATGTGAAAGACTGAATGACAGAGACATAGTTCAGAGGAAGTGTTTGGTAAAGCTCTTAAAGAGCCTGCTTTTTGTGATACTCTTTCGAGGCACATTCTCTCTGTCAGTGTGTTGATGTTTTAGTACATATTGAATCATGTCACAAGAAGAGAAAGCTTAGCTTAGTTTACACCTTGCATGACAAAACTGACGTGTCATCCATGGTGCGTTGACGTGCCATGGGGGGGGGCTTGCAAAAAAAAAAAAAAAAAAAAAAACTTTAACGGCACTTTTTGATTGATACGTTTGTCCTTATGTTTAAAAAGTAACCTCACACCTAAAACGTCCCTCAAGAAAATAATACAATTGTTATGGGTATGTTCAAAGTGTGAAAGTTGATCTGTTCATTATCTTCAACCATTGCGAACAGGTTGGTAAACTAGAATGGTTTGTACACAAACATGCTTTAGGTTTTGAACAGGTTGAGTATAGCAAGAATGAAGTGAAATTGAGTTAATAGATAGTCGGCTAGGACACGTACCAATACTTGCAGCATGTAAAAGAATCAAGGAGCCCTTTTACTCAACAACCCACAAACTGATACCATTTTTGGTGTCGGTCCTACATTTAACATAACTCACCAACAAACATAATCTTGCAAAAGTTACTCTGTTACTCTCAACTAAGTGAAAATTGTTTGCCAATAACTAACCAATATACTGTCAAAATTCAAGAACTCGATTCATTGTAATACTACACATAGATGTTTAAATTAAAATGTTTTACTTTTTTAAACTATCATGACCACACATATCATTGACTAGTATCTCTCAGTTTAGGTCTACCGTACCAGTCTTTGTTCTTGCCTTCTATTTGCACTCATTTGTTTATGGAAGCATTCCCAGCAATCTCAAGGCACTTTTATCGAGATTCGTGTTGGGTGCAACTGTTTATACAAAGGGCACTGTTTTCACGCACCATTTAGACCTGACCTGGTTTCAAGGTACACAATGGGAGCAATGAAAATAGTTCCCAAGAAACAGTGTCACACTCTTAGACTTTTGGCTGCCTATATATTGTTAATTTATATACACTGCATTAAAAATCCATTTCAGACTGGATTTCTTTCTTTTAAATATATTCTTAGGGTATTTTGACACTTTTTATTTATAGAGGGAGTAAATCAGAAGTGATACAGGCAGGTGGGGGAAACAGATTGAAGGGTTGGAGTGGGAATTGATCCCCAGTCTCCAGTGGGGAGAGGATTATACACGTGATACATGAGATAATGGTGATACTCTTGAAGTTCATTTCGTACTAAACTGTCACACAGAATTTTTTTACACGAGCAGTGTTCAGTCATGCCTAGTAATTAGTAATTCATTAGCTGAGAGGCTGTCAAGAACATGCTCCTGACCCTGATAGCTAACCCATCATCATCATCATCATCATCATCTCTCTCTCTCTCTCTCTCTCTCTCTCTCTCTCTCTCTCTCTCTCTCTCTCTCTCTCACACACACACTCTCACTCTCACACACTCTCACTCTCACTCTCTCTCGGTTTCTTTCTCTCTCTCACTCTCTCTCTCTCTCTCTCTCTTATTCTAGATTTTTCTCTCTTACTTTCTCACTCTCTCTGCTGTTCATTAGAAAGATAATTTGTTGAGGGCTCCTGTCATTGACTAAGGGGGACTGTACGTTATTTATAAAGAGGGATACCTGAAGAACAATGGGCCTCTCTGAAAAAAAAATGGATGGCCCTCCCTTCAGTAAAATATATTTTGACCCAACCCTCCCTGAACGCAAAAAAAAAAAAAGTGAATCTCCCTTATACCCAAAATAATAATACAATTGTTACATGGCAAAGTAGCCAGAAGGTTGTGGATTCGCTGACAACCACAGACAAGGGTAGGGGTGAAAAGATCCCTATTATAATAAAAGCTCTGCATGAATCTATCATCTTATTTACCGGTCCGAGAAAAAATAGCCTTTTGTAAACGCATTTCATGCAATTCTACATCATTTTACACGACTGGAGACGAGCAGAATCACCACAACAGAGCATGACAACGAATGAGTACATGCTGCAGCACCGGAGAGGTTATGATATTGATACAGGCTGTTGTTTAAAAAGAGGATAGTCTAAGCTTGGAACAGTGCTAAAGTCGTCCATCAACTGTAAATATTGAGCGCAACAGAACCAGTTACAACTGAAGTATCTGATCATCAATGAATTTGTTTTTTAACACAGCAGCTGCATATCATCAGGTAGGCCTAAATGCACATGCAACTTTTTTTTTTCATTTTGGGAAACTATAATTCTCTAATTTATTCCATTAAAAAAAAAAAAAAGGGCATGGGAATATAAAAGCATCCGCTAGGCTAAATTAACAAACTAGGCATGCATTTCTCACCGCATGATCCTCAAACCAAAGACTGGCCAAACTGGTGTTTCTAACAGTGAATTTAAAGACACTGTAGAATGACTGTATAGCCTAATGAGACTGTTTTTTGTTTCATTATTATTTAATACTAAGTAATTATTTGTTTTACATTTCATTTTATACAGCCTAAATGTGAAATGTATAGGCATGTTGTTGAAGTGCTGTTGTGGATGTGTTTTTAAAATGCTGAGCGCTCCTGCCAGCCTGTAGTGTGTCACAAATGCATCACAATTCATTTCTTAAATGGCAGGCTATAGCCTTGAAATAATAATAATATAGCAGAAATAATTCATTTCCGTTCCTTCTGGCTTGCTCCTGACTGATTTAGAGTTAGTATGTTGTTTAATAGCCTGTTGAAATGTTGAACGTCAATTGATAGTGACACAATCACACATTACTTCCCAAGCAAATTACATACAGTGCCTTGCAAAAGTATTCATCCCCCTTGGCGTTTTTTCTATTTTGTTGCATTACAACCTGTAATTTCAAATGGATTTTTGTTTGGATTTCATCTAATGGACATAGACAAAATAGTCCAAATTGGTGAAGTGAAATGAAAAAAATAACTTGTTTCAAAAAATTATAAAAAATAAATAACGGAAAAGTGGTGCGTGCATATGTATTCACCCCCTTTGCTATGAAGCCCCTAAATAAGATTTAGTTATATGAAGTCCACTTGTGTGTAATCTAAGTGTCACATGATCTGTCACATGATCTCAGTATATATACACCTGTTCTGAAAGGCCCCACAGTCTGCAACACCACTAAGCATGGGGCACCAACAAGCAAGCGGCACCAGGAAGACCAGGGAGCTCTCCAAACAGGTCAGGGACAAAGTTGTGGAAAAGTACAGATCAGGGTTGGGTTATAAAAAAATATCTGAAACTTTGAACATCCCACAGAGCACAATTAAATCCATTATTAAAAAATGGAAAGAATATGGCACCACAACAAACCTGCCAAGAGAGGGCCGTCCACCAAAACTCACGGAGGGCATTAATCAGAGAGGCAACAAAGAGAGCAAAGATAACCCTGAAGGAGCTGCAAAGCTCCACAGCGGAGATTGGAGTATCTGTCCATAGGACCACTTTAAGCCACTCCACAGAGCTGGGCTTTACGGAAGAGTGGCCAGAAAAAAAGCCATTGCTTAAAGAAAAAAATAAGCAAACACGTTTGGTGTTCGCCAAAAGGCATGTGGGAGACTCCCCAAACATATGGAAGAAGGTACTCTGGTGAGACTAAAATTGAGCTTTTTGGGCATCAAGGAAAACGCTATGTCTGGTGCAAAACCAACACCTCTCATCACCCCGAGAACACCATGTTTTTCATCGCAGGGACTGGGAAACTGGTCAGAATTGAATGAATGATGGCTGGCGCTAAATACAGGGACATTCTTGAGGGAAACCTGTTTCAGTCTTCCAGAGATTTGAGACTGGGACGGAGGTTCACCTTCCAGCAGGACAATGACCCTAAGCATACTGCTAAAGCAACAATCCAATTGAGAATCTGTGGTATGACTTAAAGATTAATGTACACCAGCGGATCCCATCCAACTTGAAGGAGCTGGAGCAGTTTTGCCATGAAGAATGGGAAAAAATCCCAGTGGCAAGATGTGCCAAGCTTATAGAGACATATCCCAAGAGACTTGCAGCTGTAATTGCTGGGGGGGTGAATAGTTATGCACGCTCAATATTTCAGTTTTTTTGTCTTATTTCTTGTTTGTTTCACAACAAAAAATATTTTGCATCTTCAAAGTGGTAGGCATGTTGTGTAAATCAAATGATACAACCCCCCCCCCCCCCCCCAAATTCCATTTAAATTCCAGGTTGTAAGGCAACAGAATAGGAAAAATGCCAAGGGGGTGAATACTTCCGCAAGCCACTGTATTTGGTCTCCTCGACTATAGAAGGCTGTAGTGCAGCCTCTGAATGTCATAGAGTCAAACCAAAGATATCCCATATGCATCGGAGCCACGTCTTTCCCCAACATTTTACAGCTTGTTTCTAGCATAAAGCATTGCGGACTAAAGCGTCATTATTATTTTTGGGGGGACAGTCTTAAGCTAACAAGGGGTAGGCCTATGCTTTCGGCCATTTCCTTTAACAAAAACTACAATTCCCTCACATACCCCCTCAATTCGAGCCCTGGTTTTAACTTAACACACCAAGCCCTGCACTGACACTGAGATATGCATGGTGACTGACAAAATCTATGGATAGTAGACTATAACTTTCTGTCAAACAGGTAGGCCTACCTCTTATTTCTTGAATAGGAAGAAATAGGCTCTGACACAAAGCCCTCTTCTTGTTAGTAGCCTAAAGTCAAATTGAAATGAAAACTGTTTAAATGAATTAGGCCTTCTTGAATTAGCCTACTTTCAGCACCCATGCACTGTCCATCTCCGTGGTTGCCGCTTCATAGTAATGTAAGTTATGTAAATTACTCGAATATGGCTTATTGTGAGGTCAATAACTCCGATAAATAGCTTCATTATGGGCAATGAAACATTACATTTACATTTACATTTTAGTCATTTAGCAGACATATATATTGTTTTTATTTAAATCAATTCTAGCAGTAGAAAACTTACCTCCGGTCCTCCTTCTCATCTTCACGCTCTACCTCTCAAACTGAACCGGACACGAGTAGGCCTAGTCCGTGCGCACAGATATTGCAATTTTTGGACAAATAAAACAACAATTTTTGGAAGAAGCCCTTCACTTGCCTCCTGAAGTGGCACCGTACACAGCGGAGCCACTGGTTAGGCAGCACAAAGGGTTTTTGTTGCAAGAGCAGAGCAGGCAAGGGCTCATGATTGGGAAAGTCTATCCATTGCAGTGTGTAATGTGTTATATTCACCATCCCAGCGGCGCAAAAAAACTTGTTGAGGAAGTACATTTTCTTAGAAATATAACTTTGCCCTCTGCTTCTCAGAGCATGCTCTTCGTATAGCCTAGGCCTATAGTATAGGCTATGGATAATTTGATTGAGACCACACTAGGCGTACTTGATATTGCATGCCCAGCAGAGAATCAGGGATGAGGGGCAGCATCAGGCACACATCGAGATATAATAAGCAACTAATTATCAAACACTGAGTAATATGACATTTAATCAATTACAAATTACATGACCCTCCCCTGGACAAAATAAAATAAAATACTAAAGCCTCCCCCTGACTGAAATTGAAAAAGCATTACCCTCCCCCATTTTCCTCCGGGTGACAATTGTGTAAATTTCGACCTCACCCTATGTGGTCTGTCTTTGCACTTGGCATTTTGATGACTGGGGTCTGAGAGTTGAACTATGACCTCTGAGCGAGACCAGTGGTGAGAACACTGTATGTAGGAGAGGTTGAAATATCCCTGACCTGAGGCAAGTCTGTTGTTCAAGGGCACAGAGAGAGATAGGAAGGGATAAAAAGCAGTATAGATCTCTTTTTTTACACAGCACTTCTAAAGAGATTATTAACAATGAATATCATGTGTAATTACTCTTATCAGCCAGCCCATGAAATAGGACCCTGGTTGTGCCTATCTTGTTCCAGAACCAATATTGACTGTTTATGTTCATGTCCATTTCTCCCTTTCAGACCATTTGTAGGGGGAGTTTCATCGGACACGGAGACTACATCTCCCACGTCATCTCTGAGATGACTCGTCTTCCCGTCACCAGTTCCAACTCGCTCCGGAAGAGCAGTCCGTCGGCGCGGCAACGGGCCCGCTCCATGGGGCTTCTGGGTGAGCTCGTCGAAGGCGACACGTATCAGTATGAGGAGCTGGGCCAAGAGAAGCGTCATAACGGCGGTAACAGCTACTGGCAGGTACAAAGTGAGAGCGGTAGCCCCAAACTGGCCCCTAAGAAAACCTCCACCCTCCAGCCCAATGGGGTACTGCCTCGGGCAAAGTCGACGCATGAGATGAGCATGACGGCTGGGGATAAACCTGCACCTCTGCCGAAGAGGCCAGTCCCCACGCCCCCTAGAGGAGGAGGCACGGGTCATTATGCACGTAGCGAAGGGGCCGGACTTATAAATAGGCCGGAACAGCAGATGGGCATGCCGCAAAAGGGCAAAGTAGTCAATCAGAGGCCGGCGTCCTGCTATAACCTGCAGACCCTGCAGACGCAGCAGCAGGTCAACATGAGGGTCAAGCCTGGGGTCAGTCACCTGCCGGACCTTCTGACCTCCTCCAAGGATACTTCTCCTCAGAGACCCCACTCGTCCTGTGACCTGAAGGTAAGCCTCTTCCGTTTCCGTTTAGCATTGATATGTTGAAGCAGTGTCTTGTAGGAAGGAAACCTTGTGGTCACCTCAAGACTGGAGCTGCCTACACCTGCCATTGCAGATCACCTGAATTTGTAGTTTGTTGAAGGCCTATGCTAAAATATATTTCCTGTCATATTCCAGATGAATTCATTACCCAATGGCACCAGCAGCCTGATCGCAGGCAGAGGGCGAACCCACAGACCCTTACGTTCCTCCTCCACCTACACCATTGGATTGTTTTCACCCATAGTTCAGGGGGCTACCATGCCCCTACTCCCCAAACAGAACAGCCCATCCCAGCCCCAGCCTTCTCCCACGGGCTCCCCGGCCACCAACTCAACAGGAACCAAGCAGCAACAGCCCAAACCCAAGCTTGGGCCAGAGCCCGAGCCGGCCAAAGTGACCCACGAGCAGTTCAAGGCGGCCCTGCAGATGGTGGTGGACAAGGGCGACCCGCGCACCTTCCTGGAGAACTTTGTGAAGATCGGGGAGGGCTCCACGGGGGTGGTGTGCATCGCCCGCGAGAGGCATAGCGGTCGGCAGGTGGCGGTGAAGATGATGGATGTCCGGAAGCAGCAGCGCAGAGAGCTGCTCTTTAACGAGGTACGCAGTATGTTACTGGGAGGTAAACTGTCAGAATTGGACTGTAAGAAAGGCTAAACTATGTTAGTATATCATTAGGTTGCAGGTTCCTATCCGACCTGAAGGACCAAAACAAGATATGAAACAACATGCATCCATAAATGATATAGAACAGAACAGAGTACATTATTGTATAGTGAGTTGCACTTAACGAAATGTAGAACTCACTACACAGCATGGACTGTGCAGGTTTCTTGGAATTTGAACATTCTGTTCAATAAATCAATGCATGTCTAGTCTGAAAGGTAGATAGACACGGACTTTGTCCCAATGAGCTTGAAAAGATTCCTTTCGATATCATCTGTCTGTCAAGATTACCTATCTACATGGATAGATTACCTATCTACATGGATAGATTACCTATCTACATGGATAGATTACCTATCTACATGGATAGATTACCTACCTACATGGATAGATTACCTATCTACATGGATAGATTACCTATCTACATGGATAGATTACATATCTACATGGATAGATTACCTATCTACATGGATAGATTACCTATCTACATGGATAGATTACCTATCTAAAACGGTGGAAACCAAATCTATTTACCCATCAGAAGTCATGAAGTAGAGAGAACAAACAAGTTCATTCAAGAATTTTGGGACATAGACACAGTGGCCCTCTAAGCACCTCTTCTGGTGTCCATTTGTAACCATAAGGTGGTGATCATGAGGGACTACCGGCACAGCAGCGTTGTGGAGATGTACAGGAGTGCCCTGGTGGAAGAGGAGCTGTGGGTTATCATGGAGTACCTGCAGGGTGGGGCTCTGACCAACGTCGTGTCTGAAACCAGGTAAAGGATCTGTCAATAAGAGGCGCAATGTTGTCAAACTTAAAACACAGAATACTTCCTAGCAACAGTGATGTTTATTAATCATCAATCATATTATATATATATATATATAATTTTGTTATCATTGACTGTAAAGATCTCTCATTATAAACATATGTGTCATGACAGCGTTTTCATAATGCCATGACAATGTACACAAACCAAACCCGTTGGGTAGAATGAGATAGGTAATAGTTTGTTTTGGGAAAATCCCATGTGGTCTAGAAGTTATGTCAAGTAACTGTATTGCCACCCACTCCTGCATACCTTCTTTTGAGTTAATGGAGAAGGATTAAATTGTTATAAATGCCAATGTAAGGGGGGGTCTAACAATAACACAAGTTGGCACGTGTTGCGACAAGATTCCTCTGTAATTGCCTGCTACGTTTTGGTCCACTGGAGAACGGTATAATGTTGATCTGACATAACAAAAGAAGAGAACGATTGACATGATGGATGTTGTCTCAAAGGCTAAAAACGACCATTTTGGATCAAAGGCTGACTAGAGTGTTGGATAACCAGTTTAAGTTGCGTGTCGTTTCACACCAGGCTGAATGAAGAGCAGATAGCCACCGTGTGTGAAGCTGTGCTACAGGCGTTAGCCTATCTCCATTCCCAGGGAGTTATCCACCGTGACATCAAGAGTGACTCTATACTGCTCACGCTGGATGGGAGGGTAAGTGCGGCCACATCCAGAAATAATTTATATCCTGTCTGTAACCTCAGAAGCTATGACAAAATATTGCGCTAGTGAGCTTGCTAGCTAACAGGATTTACTCCTGGGCGCAGGAGTGGGTGGGTTTGAATTAACAAAAGTGGCAAAGAAACAGTCGCCAAAAGCCCTTACCCAGCACCTCTACCTATCCATCACCATTTACCAGCCCACCCCTACATATAAACCTTCAGAAACTCAATCACTGAAGACCAAATCTTAAATTGAGATAATGCAAATTGTATTGATATCTATGGGATAAAGTTAAAGGTATGATGAGCATGTATCTCAAGTTGTAATTTCGCCCTTTCAGTCATTTGGAATGTATCCAATAATGTTTATGGCCTTAAAAAAAAAAAAAAAGGTTTTATTTTTTATTATTTTCCAAGATCAAGCTGTCAGACTTTGGATTCTGTGCTCAGATCAGCAAAGACATCCCCAAAAGGAAGTCCTTGGTTGGGACACCATACTGGATGGCTCCAGAGGTCGTGTCAAAGACGCCATATGGAACTCAGGTAACAGAACAACCAACCAAAGCTGTGTTTGTTTGACTGCTAGAGGGTTGTCTCATTCTACAGTATCTGAAACACTGACCCTTAAAACACATACAGTGAGCTCCAACAGTTTAGGGACACTGACAGTTGTGTTGTTTTGGCTCTGTACTCCAGCACTTTGGATTTGAAATTATACAACGACTATGAGGTTAAAGCGCAGACTGTCAGCTTTAATTTGAGGGTATTGTCATCCATATCGGGTGAATCGTTTAGAAATTACAGCACTTTTTGTATATAGTCGCCCCATTTTAGGGGACAAAGGTTTTGGGAAAAATTCAGTTATGTGCATTAAAGTAGTCAAAAGTTTAGTATTTGGTCCCTTATTCCTAGCACGCAATGATCACATCAAGCTTGTGACTCTACAAACTTCTTGGATGCATTTGCTGTTTGTTTTGGTTGTGTTTCAGATTGTTTTGTGCCCAATAGAAATGATTGGTAAATAATGTATTGGAGACACTTTTATTGTAAATAAGAATATAATATGTTTCTAAACACTTCTACAAAATAATATCATACCCCCACACAAAACAAATATGCTAACCTCCCCTGTTATTGCAATGGTGAGAATGTAGCATTTTTCGGGGGGTATGATATTTATGCCTCTGTAACTTTCTCATTATTTACGATTCATTCAGGACTATCTGTAATCATGGTAGCATCCACATGAATGTAGACGTGTTTAGAAACATATTACATTCTTATTTACAATAAAAGTGTCTCCAAAATTACACAGTACATTATTAACCATTCATTTCTATTGGGCACAAAATAATCTGAAACGCAACCAAAACAAACAACAAATGCATCCAACAAGTTTGTAGAGTCACAAATATGATGTAATCATTGCGTGCTAAGAATATGGGACCAAATGCTAAACTTTTTACTACATATATAAGTGAATTTGTTCCAATACTTATGGTCCCCTTAAATGGGGGGATTGTGTACAAAAAGTGCTGTAATTTCTAAACCATTCACCCGGTTTGGATAAAAATACCCTCTAATTAAATATGACAGACTGCACTTTAACCTCATGGTCATCGTATCATTAAAATCCAATGTGCTGAGGTACAGAGCCAGAACAACCAAAAATGTGTCACTGTCCCAATATCTTTGGAGCTCACTGTTTTGATCTTACACACACACACACACACACACACACACACACACACACACACACACACAGAGAGAGACTACCTGATCCTGTTATCGTTGCCTACACCTCTCCTTGTGACATCGCCACTTCAGGCCTGATACTCCTTGCACTAGAGAATACTGCCTCAGACAGACAGACAGGATTCTCTGTTACCCACTGAGGTATTTTCTTATCGGGATTTCAACAGAGATGGAGGGATGTGTGTTTGATGTGAGAGAAAGACAGTGTATGTACTGTCACTGAATGTGTGTGATAGTGTGTGCCTTTTCCTGTGATGTTCAATGGATGTGTGTACAGAATGGGTATTATATGGATGAACATTTTGTTTCTATGGGTGTGTGATTATGTTCCTGTGTCAGTCAGGTGGATGGAAGGTCTCTGGATATGCTGTTTGGGGGTATGTGAGGCTCTGTGTGTGTGTATTTCAGTGTGTGTATGTATTGTAAATGTCTCTGTGATGTCTGGCAGGTGGATGTGTGGTCCCTGGGTATCATGGTGGTAGAGATGGTGGATGGAGAGCCTCCGTACTTCAGTGACACGCCAGTGGCAGCTATGAAGAAACTGAGGGACGAGCCACCACCTACAGTCAGGAACACACAGAAGGTGAAATACATATACAGTTAAAGTCGGAAGTTTACATACACCTTAGCCAAATACATTTAAACTCAGTTTTTCACAATTCCTGACATTTAATCATAGTAAAAATTAGGATCACCACTTTATTTTAAGAATGTGAAATGTCCGAATAATAGTAGAGAGAATGATTTATTTCAGCTTTTATTTATTTCATCACATTCCCAGTGGGTCAGAAGTTTACATACACTCAATTAGTATTTGGTAGCATTGCCTTTAAATTGTTTACTAGGGTCAAACATTTTGGGTAGCCTTCCACAAGCTTCCCACATCAAGTTAGGTGAATTTTGGCCTATTCCTCCTGACAGAGCTGGTGTAACTGAGTCAGGTTTGTAGGCCTCCTTGCTCGCACATGCTTTTTCAGTTCTGCCCACACATTTTCTATAGGTTTGAGGTCAGGGCTTTGTGATGGCCACTCCAATACCTTGACTTTGTTGTCCTTAACCCATTTTGCCACAACTTTGGAAGTATGCTTGAGGTCATTGTCCATTTGGAAGACCCATTTGCGACCAAGCTTTAACTTCCTGACTGATGTCTTGATGTTGCTTCAATATATCCACATAATTTTCCTTCCTCATGATGCCATCTATTTTGTGAAGTGCACCAGTCCCTCCTGCAGCAAAGCACCCCCACAGCATGATGCTGCCACCCCCGTGCTTCACGGTTGGGATGGTGTTCTTCGGCTTGCAAGCTGCCCCCTTTTTCCTCCAAACATAACGATGGTCATTATGGCCAAACAGTTCTATTTTTGTTCATCAGACCAGCGGACATTTCTCCAAAAAGTACGATCTTTGTCCCCATGTGCAGTTGCAAACCGTAGTCTGGCTTTTTTATGGCGGTTTTGGAGCAGTGGCTTCTTCTTTGCTGAGCGGCCTTTAAGGTTATGTCGATATAGGACTCGTTTACTGTGGATATAGATACTTTTGTACCCGTTTCCTCCAGCATCTTCACAAGGTCCTTTGCTGTTGTTCTGGGATTGATTTGCACTTTTTGCACACAAAGTACGTTCATCTCTAGGAGACAGAACGCGTCTCCTTCCTGAGCGGTATGACGGCTGCGTGGTCCCATGGTGTTTATACTTGCGTACTATTGTTTGTACAGATGAACGTGGTACCTTCGGTCGTTTGGAAATTGCTCCCAAGGATGAACCAGACTTGTGGAGGTCTACAATTTCTTTTCTGGGGTCTTGCTGATTTCTTTTGATTTTCCCATGATGTCAAGCAAAGATGCACTGAGTTTGAAGGTAGGCCTTGAAATACATCCACATGTACACCTCCAATTGACTCAAATTATGTCAATTAGCCTATCAGAAGCTTCTAAAGCCATGACATCATTTTCTGGAATTTTACAAGCTGTTTAAAGGCACAGTCAACTTAGTGTATGTAAACTTCTGACCCACTGGAATTGTGATACAGGGAATTATAAGTGAAATAATCTGTCTGTAAACAATTGTTGGAAAAATTACATGCACAAAGTAGATGTCCTAACCGACATGCCAAAACTATAGTTTGTTAACAAGAAATTTGTGGAGTGGTTGAAAAACGAGTTTTAATGACTCCAACCTAAGTGTATGTAAACTTTTGACTTCAACTGTAGATACACACACACACACACACACACACACACACACACACACACATACACACTACACACACACTACTCACACTCCATCTCTCTCTCTGTAGATCTCCCCTGTGCTGAAGGACTTCCTGGATCGTATGCTAACACGCGACCCCCAGGAGCGTGCTACCGCTAGCGACCTGCTGGAGCACCCCTTCCTGCTGCAGTGTGGCTCGCCGCGGTGCCTGGTGCCCCTAGTGGAGCGATACCGCAAGCGTATGTCCCGCTGCTGACTCACCCGGACACACATGATCCATGTTGGCCGAAGACTGGGCTGATCCCATGACGTCTGACCCTGGGTTAACAGACGACCTGTCGCTCCATCCACAGCATTGGTATTGAGTCTCAATGCCCACTACAGGAAGTGGATTTACTGTCACACGGTGTGTGGATGGAAGGATATGGAGTCGATCAGAAAATACTCTCTCTCTCTCTCTCTCTCTTTATCTTGCTCCTTTTCTCTGGCTCACTTCCTTTACCAGGCCTCGTATCTCTGTCCTCCTCTCTTCTCTTTCTTTCTCTCTCTCTCCTTTTTATTCCATCCGTTATCTCCCTTTTCTCCTCTCTTTTTAAATCTCCATCTTCAAGGAGTGTTTTTCTGACCTGCCGGCTGGTGGATGCAGAGGCACCATTCAAATCCACAAATGGTGGGGTGGCAGCCTGGTACTGGTGGTTACCCACCATTATCATATGACTGATATGAGCGTAATTTATTAATTGTTTACTCATTTAAGCCCATCACTCTTCAGGGAGCATATAGGCCATCGACGATGTCTCCTCTCCATCACACCGTTCTGGGCAGTCTTCTTCAGCTCCTTCCATCCACCACATGTTGTATCCTCGGTGTTTGGCTCAAGCACCCATCTCCAGGTCTTCTACAGACACCCACTTTTGTGTTTTTCTTGCATGTTCCAGGATAAAGCTTGCCTGGGGATGTTGGAGGGGTTTTTCGGAGAGGATATACAATTCCGCGGGGACCTGACTGGTGTGCATGGCTTGGCTACAGCCACAAGGAATCACTTCAGATCGACAAGGGCATCCTCGCTCCTTTTTGGACAATGTAGGACAGAATGGAATTGGATATCTGAATTTAAGGATTTGTTAATTCTATGCAAAAAGTGCAACAAGCCCCAATGTAGAATCACAGTGTCCTGAACCTTCTGTACTGAAAATCCCCACCATCACTGTCCAATTTGTTCTACTGACTTTGAAATGTAACAATTACTACTGACTTTGGTACTATACTTCTGTTCATTCTGTAAAAAAAAATGAATGACCAGACCCTTTCTACCAGATCACCTAGGGTTCCCCTGGACTTGATCAGGGGAGGATCTACAAAGTTGTCACAAGCAGAAGCTTTGTTTTGGTATTGCTGGAGGAACATGTTTTATAGAATTTCCAAATGGATAAAGTATTTCGGGATATTGCAGATATGAATGTGAGTAGTATAGTAAATAGCATGACTATACTGAGTATAGTAAATGTTCTATTTTGGGACAGGTATCCCCGGTAAAATACTATTTTAATCAGAACCGATCACCTGTATACTTTGGTTGAACAGGTTTTTGACAAATAGTCATACAATATATTGAAATGGCATACAATACGGACATGGGGTAGTTCAAAATCTCAAGACTGGATTGTTGTGTAGCCTGCTGATGTACCCCTGTTAGCTGACTAGCCTACTGATGTACCCCTGTTAGCTGACTAGCCTACTGATGTACCCCTGTTAGCTGACTAGCCTACTGATGTACCCCTGTTAGCTGACTAGCCTGCTGATGTACCCCTGTTAGCTGACTAGCCTGCTGATGTACCCCTGTTAGCTGACTAGCCTACTGATGTACCCCTGTTAGCTGACTAGCCTACTGATGTACCCCTGTTAGCTGACTAGCCTACTGATGTACCCCTGTTAGCTGACTAGCCTACTGATGTACCCCTGTTAGCTGACTAGCCTACTGATGTACCCCTGTTAGCTGACTAGCCTGCTGATGTACCCCTGTTAGCTGACTAGCCTGCTGATGTACCCCTGTTAGCTGACTAGCCTACTGATGTACCCCTGTTAGCTGACTAGCCTGCTGATGTACCCCTGTTAGCTGACTAGCCTACTGATGTACCCCTGTTAGCTGACTAGCCTGCTGATGTACCCCTGTTAGCTGACTAGCCTACTGATGTACCCCTGTTAGCTGACTAGTCTACTGATGTACCCCTGTTAGCTGACTAGCCTGCTGATGTACCCCTGTTAGCTGACTAGCCTGCTGATGTACCCCTGTTAGCTGACTAGCCTACTGATGTACCCCTGTTAGCTGACTAGCCTACTGATGTACCCCTGTTAGCTGACTAGCCTACTGATGTACCCCTGTTAGCTGACTAGCCTGCTGATGTACCCCTGTTAGCTGACTAGCCTGCTGATGTACCCCTGTTAGCTGACTAGCCTACTGATGTACCCCTGTTAGCTGACTAGCCTGCTGATGTACCCCTGTTAGCTGACTAGCCTGCTGATGTACCCCTGTTAGCTGACTAGCCTACTGATGTACCCCTGTTAGCTGACTAGCCTACTGATGTACCCCTGTTAGCTGACTAGCCTACTGATGTACCCCTGTTAGCTGACTAGCCTACTGATGTACCCCTGTTAGCTGACTAGCCTGCTGATGTACCCCTGTTAGCTGACTAGCCTGCTGATGTACCCCTGTTAGCTGACTAGCCTACTGATGTACCCCTGTTAGCTGACTAGCCTGCTGATGTACCCCTGTTAGCTGACTAGCCTACTGATGTACCCCTGTTAGCTGACTAGCCTGCTGATGTACCCCTGTTAGCTGACTAGCCTGCTGATGTACCCCTGTTAGCTGACTAGCCTACTGTTTGCCAACACTGGATATCTATGTATGTCAACACCATTTTCACATGCATTTTTGTCCTTCTCAGAATGTTCTGTATCTGGCCCCGCACAGCAGTTTATATTTTTCATACACTTCAAAAATGTGACTTCACTTTGCACGTTAGTACTTGATGAGTACTGGTATAGGACAAAACCTATGAAAGTACTTCTTTAAATGTTTTACAAATAAATATCTGTGAACAAATACAGTTTTTTTTTTTGCAAATGTCATATTCATTATTATTTAAATACAGTTTATAGGCTTACAACATGACATAAGCATGCTGTTGAATCTGGATAAGAGCCTCTGTTAAATGATCAAATATGTGTACAAGTCATTGCCGTTCAGGTGAGATCATCGATGTCCTAACTGTTCACAGGATACCCTGGATCTGTTTATTTGTCATTTTTTTATCAGGTGTTTTGTGACCGAGCTTTTTGAGACCGTCATTACACCTTATCAAGGCGTCTTTTAATGTAGTGGAAGCACTAAATTATGGTATGGAGTGACAAAGTGTTTCACAGGGTTTAAAATAATATAATGCAGTCATTTCTACAATACACACTATACCAATGTAAAATAAGTTGTCAGGTTTCTCAGAGGGATCTGTTTTAACCTGCCTTGTGTTAATGAGTAAGAAATATGGAAATGATATGGAAAGGATGACAAACAAAGTTTCAGGTAGCAAACAACCCTGTGAATTTCAGCATGACCCAGTTTTCACCTACATAATGTGCGATGAAGTTTCAATGAAAACCCTTTTTGATTTTTATCACTTATAAAGCATGACAAATTGGGTGAAGAAATCAAATAGATGGATATAGATAAAGATATTAAATATGTTTCCTTAACAATAGTTTCCTAATTACAAATGAAATAGCATGTCAGTTAATGTACACAGTATGTAACGTGATTGTTTTTTGTTTCTCATTTTAAGAATGCTCAAGTTGAAGAATGAAGGAGAATGAACCGTCTCAGAAGAGATTTGACACTGCTGTAGGGTTGCAAAGGGACGGAATATTACCGATAACTTTAGAAATGTACCAGTAAACTAACAGAATTTTGGAAACTTGAGTTTTCACAACTTAAAAAATATAAAATAATACAATGTTTTAATATGAAGAAAAAAAAACATCGGAAATATAACCCATCAACTTCGTGAACACTGTTGCTCTTTAATGTGAGTCTCAGCATGGAATATTCTTTATATTTTTTTGTTTTTATTTATTTTACTATGTCAATATATCTTTGTTGTAAATGTTTTGGGGACAAATTGGTGGCAGTTGTGAAAAAAAGTAAATGGAAGAGTTGCAGAGATAATTGGAAATGACGTCATTGTTGATTAGATGTGTTTTTCATTATGAGGCTATTTTCTCCTGAACCACATGGTCTATCTGCTAGAAACTAATGGACATCGTGGAAACAGATATAAAGAAAATATGAATACATTTACATTTCCAAAATGACCTGTTAATCACCAACATTTCTGAAAATTCCTAAATAACTTTGGTAAATTACCGGGAGTTTTACAACCCTACACTGCTGTCAATTGATCTGGCATATGGCAGACAATGCTTTTTTGTGTCCCTGACAGCCACTAAAGAATATAATTTCTTCAGCATTTTCCAGAGTCAGAAACTGTGGAATTAAACAGTGTGTCCCTTTCCTGAAATCATAATTTCATTTGAATCAATTCAACTGTGAATATGAACTTAGGTGGTACATGGACATTTAGATGATATCAAATGCACTGGACTTTTCTTAATGCAGTCTTCTGAAGAGAGAGGTTTATGCTATAGCAAAGCGGTTTCAAAAGCCCTGTGTGTGACACTCTGTAAAACTTATCTCGGAATTAAGGACGGAGAGTGCTTGTAAGTGTGCTGGAGTGACGCATGGCAGGCTAGTGAGGCACTTTGTGATGATAGGCCTTGTTATCAACATACTCTTCAAGAGTCATTGAGAATATAAGGCAATGCATGTTCTCAGTTTCTATAATTAGGTATGGCAAAATAGCTAAACTCCAATTGTGGCAGCAAGAATATAGGGTTAATCATCTATGTTCAGAGTTGTGGATTACATAGTAATCATCTATGTTCAGAGTTGTGGATTATATAGTAATCATCTATGTTCAGAGTTGTGGAGTATATAGTAATCATCTATGTTCAGAGTTGTGGATTATATAGTAATCATCTATGTTCAGAGTTGTGGAGTATATAGGGTTAATCATCTATGTTCAGAGTTGTGGAGTATTTAGGGTTAATCATCTATGTTCAGAGTTGTGGAGTATATAGTAATCATCTATGTTCAGAGTTGTGGATTATATAGTAATCATTTATATTCAGAGTTGTGGATTATATAGTAATCATCTATGTTCAGAGTTGTGGAGTATATAGTAATCATCTATGTTCAGAGTTGTGGAGTATATAGTAATCATCTATGTTCAGAGTTGTGGAGTATATAGTAATCATCTATGTTCAGAGTTGTGGATTATATAGTAATCATCTATGTTCAGAGTTGTGGAGTATATAGTAATCATCTATGTTCAGAGTTGTGGATTATATAGTAATCATCTATGTTCAGAGTTGTGGAGTATATAGTAATCATCTATGTTCAGAGTTGTGGATTATATAGTAATCATCTATGTTCAGAGTTGTGGAGTATATAGTAATCATCTATGTTCAGAGTTGTGGAGTATATAGTAATCATCTATGTTCAGAGTTGTGGATTATATAGTAATCATCTATGTTCAGAGTTGTGGAGTATATAGTAATCATCTATGTTCAGAGTTGTGGATTATATAGTAATCATCTATGTTCAGAGTTGTGGAGTATATAGGGTTAATCATCTATGTTCAGAGTTGTGGAGTATTTAGGGTTAATCATCTATGTTCAGAGTTGTGGAGTATATAGTAATCATCTATGTTCAGAGTTGTGGATTATATAGTAATCATTTATATTCAGAGTTGTGGATTATATAGTAATCATCTATGTTCAGAGTTGTGGAGTATATAGTAATCATCTATGTTCAGAGTTGTGGAGTATATAGTAATCATCTATGTTCAGAGTTGTGGATTATATAGTAATCATCTATGTTCAGAGTTGTGGAGTATATAGTAATCATCTATGTTCAGAGTTGTGGATTATACAGTAATCATCTATGTTCAGAGTTGTGGAGTATATAGTAATCATCTATGTTCAGAGTTGTGGATTATATAGTAATCATCTATGTTCAGAGTTGTGGAGTATATAGTAATCATCTATGTTCAGAGTTGTGGAGTATATAGGGTTAATCATCTATGTTCAGAGTTGTGGAGTATTTAGGGTTAATCATCTATGTTCAGAGTTGTGTAGTATAAAGTAATCATCTATGTTCAGAGCTGTGGAGTATATATACTGAAGAAAAATATAAACGCAACATGCAAGAATGTCAATGACTTTACTGAGTTACAGTTCATATAAGGAAATCAGTCAATTGAAATAAATAAATTAGGCCTTAATCTATGGATTTCACATGACTGGGGAATACAGATATGCATCTGGTCACAGATACCTTTAAGAAAAAAAGTAGGGACATGGACCAGAAACTCAGTAGGTTGGACCTGGAACACGCTGTCGTACAAGTCGATCCAGAGCATCCCAAACAGCTCAATGGGTGACACGTCTGTGAGTATGCAGGCCATGGAAGAACTGGGACATTTTCAGCTTCCAAGAATTGTGTACAGATCCTTGCGACATGGGGCAGTGCATTATCATGCTGAAACACGAGATGATGGCGGCGGATGAATGGCACGACAATGGGCCTCAGGATCTCGTCACGGTATCTCTGTGCATTCAAATTGCTATCGATAAAATGCAATTGTGTTTGTTGTCTGTAGCATATGCCTACCCATACCATAACCCCACCGCCACCATGGGGCACTCTGTTCACAACTTGGACGTAATGACAAATTCTCTAAAACGACATTGGAGGAGGCTTATGGTAGAGAAATGAACATTAAATTCTGGCAACAGCTCTGGTGGACATTCCTGCAGTCAGCATGCCAATTGCACGCTCCCTCGAAAATGTATAGGATTTTTTATTTCAGCTCATGAAACATGGGACCAACACTTTACATGTTGCGTTTATATTTTTGTTCAGTGTTTTTCAATCCTATTACCTTTTCAAAATACATACAATTTAGCATAGTCCTTTTAGAGAGGCAGTGGTATAGTCATCTAAAATGTGACATCTGTAAAGAAAAAGACTTCAACACAACTGGTGTCTGTACCAAGTCCTATGTAATGGTGCTGGTTTTAAAGGTCCAATGCAGACATTTTTTAAAATCTCAATATCAAATCATTTCTGTGTAACATTTAAGAACCTTACTGTGATTGTTTTTAAAAAGAAACAAAAATATATTCTTAGCAAAAAGCAATTTCTTAAGCAAGAGTTTTGCTATGACTGTCTGGGAGTGGTCTGAGTGGAGATGGGAAAATGAGCTGTTATTGGCAAAGAGGTTTGGAACTAATTTACCGCCTGGTGATGTCACCAGGCAGGCCAAAACTCCATCCCACCACGACAGACTGAAATTTCAGGCGGTCTTTTCAACAAACTCTTACACTAAAACGGCATTATCATAATTTTCACAATATCACTATTATTCCAACCTCATAGTGGAAATATACATAAAACACAGAGAAATCTAGTTTTTGACTGCACTGGGCCTTTAATTAATCACAAACAAACACAATATCAATAATTTCGTTATTATGATGCATTTACCTTTTACCATGTAATTGTCCAGTAGATGCTAGGTAACTACCAGACTGCAATATACAGTAGAATAGAACTAAATAACCTCTACACGACTTGTTATGTGCAGACCTGAGACACTGAAACACTCCATTAAAAAGGCCAGAGTGCCTTTGTGTGCTGTGCTATTTGGAGGGCATTGTTGAGTGGAGATGAGCCGAGACAGCTTGCTTTGTGAGAGCTGTGAGAGGTGTCTATGTCATCTCTTAGATAGGGTCCTCGGCATGCAGCCGACCACAGATAAGGAACCTATTCAGCCGAACCACCGTGACACTACTATTCAGCTAAACACAGCAATATCTACTGTCATTTATGATATTTCTCAAAGTTTTCCAATTTTGTGTGATACTCTTGCATAATACAGTTCATAATAACAAATATGAATGGACACCCAATGCTAAAGAGCTACAGTAAACCTTCAGGGTAGGTCTATTAGGCAGAGCTGTGTGGAATGTCTTTCAAGGAGGGTGAAAGGCGGGAGATAAGCAGAGACATGTCACTTTCCCTAAAATGGATACTAACAGCTAAAGGTCTTGGAAACTGCTCCCAAGGCACTTCTCAGTCTTGGGATAAAATTAGGTTCTTTTTTTTGTCATGCCACCAGCTACATCCTAATTTGGCCTTCGGTCCCCCTTTATAAGGATCAGACAGCAGAGATGAGCTCGCAGTTACCCACAGAGTCAACAGAAACAAGATATTTGCTCTGTGTCCACCCCAACTGATTATCTCTTTGTCTGTGGACCTCCACCAGCAACAATGGGTGATGCTCTCATGGCCGAGTTTGGGAAGGCTGCTCACTTTCTGAGGAAGTCGGACAAGGAGCGCCTGGAAGCCCAGACCAGAGCTTTTGACATCAAGACCGAGTGCTTCGTGGTTGATGACAAAGTGGAATATGTCAAGGGGCAGATCCAAAGCAAAGAGGGGGGAAAGGTGATCGTAAAGAGGGAGGACCAGACTATCGTGACCGTCAAGGAGGTGGACGTCCATCCCCAGAACCCGCCAAAATACGATAAAATCGAAGACATGGCCATGTTCACCTTCCTCCACGAGCCAGCTGTGCTGTTTAACCTCAAAGAGCGTTACGCAGCCTGGATGATCTACACCTACTCAGGGCTGTTCTGTGTGACAGTGAACCCATACAAGTGGCTTCCTGTCTATGACTCTGAGGTGGTGTCTGCCTACAGGGGGAAGAAGAGGACTGAAGCCCCCCCTCACATCTTCTCCATCTCAGACAACGCCTACCAGTATATGCTTACTGATCGGGAGAACCAGTCTGTTCTTATCACCGGAGAATCCGGTGCTGGGAAGACTGTCAACACTAAGAGAGTCATCCAGTACTTTGCCAGCATTGCAGCAGTTAGTGGGGTTAAGAGGGATCCAAGCAAGGGCACCCTGGAAGATCAAATCATCCAGGCTAACCCTGCACTGGAGGCTTTCGGTAATGCCAAAACACTGAGAAATGACAACTCATCACGTTTCGGCAAATTCATCCGTATTCACTTCGGGACCAGTGGGAAACTGTCCTCTGCCGACGTAGAGACTTACCTTCTTGAGAAGTCCCGTATCACCTTTCAGCTCAAAGCTGAGAGGAACTACCATATTTTCTTCCAGATATTGTCCAATCAAAAGCCAGAGCTGTTGGACATGCTGTTAATCACCAACAATCCATATGACTACTCCTACATCTCTCAAGGAGAGGTAACAGTAGCATCCATCAATGATTCTGAGGAACTGATGGCCACTGACAGTGCCTTCGATGTACTCGGCTTTACTGCAGAGGAGAAACAGGGGGTCTACAAGTTGACAGGTGCCATCATGCACTACGGCAACATGAGGTTCAAACAAAAGCAGCGGGAAGAGCAGGCAGAGCCTGACGGTACAGAGGCTGCTGACAAGTCAGCTTACCTAATGGGGATCAACTCTGCAGATCTGATTAAAGGACTTTGCCATCCCAGAGTCAAGGTTGGCAATGAGTATGTCACCAAAGGTCAAGGTGTAGATCAGGTCTACTACTCCCTCGGTGCATTGGCTAAGTCAGTGTATGAAAAGATGTTCAACTGGATGGTGGTGAGAATCAACCACTCCCTTGACACAAAACAGGCTCGCCAGCATTTCATAGGCGTACTGGACATTGCTGGTTTCGAGATCTTTGACTTCAACACCTTTGAACAGCTCTGCATCAACTTCACAAATGAGAGACTGCAACAGTTCTTCAATCATCACATGTTTGTGCTCGAGCAAGAGGAGTACAAAAAGGAGGGCATTGACTGGGAGTTCATCGACTTTGGGATGGACTTGCAAGCTTGCATTGACCTCATTGAAAAGCCACTTGGGATCATGTCAATTCTAGAGGAAGAGTGCATGTTCCCCAAGGCCAGTGACCAGACCTTTAAGGCTAAGCTATATGACAACCATTTGGGCAAGAATAGAATGTTTCAGAAGCCAATTCCAGGTAAGGGCAAGGCAGAGGCACACTTTGCCCTGCTCCACTATGCTGGCACTGTTGATTACAATATTTCTGGCTGGCTGGTGAAGAACAAAGATCCATTGAATGAAACAGTGTGTGGTCTTTACGCAAAATCCTCCCTCAAGCTGTTGAGTCATCTTTTTGCCATCATAGCAACGGAGGGAGGTGACAAAGGTGGTGGAAAAGGAGCCAAAAAGAAAGGGTCTGCTTTCCAGACTGTATCTGCGCTTCACAGGGAAAACCTAAACAAGCTGATGAGCACCCTGAAAACCACCCATCCCCACTTTGTCCGCTGCTTAATCCCAAATGAGAGCAAAACGCCAGGGATCATGGACAATTGCCTTGTGATGCACCAGCTTCGCTGTAATGGTGTGCTGGAGGGCATTCGAATCTGCAGAAAGGGCTTCCCAAACAGAGTCCTCTATGGCGACTTCAAACAGAGATATAGAATCCTGAATGCATCCGTCATTCCTGAGGGCCAATTTATTGACTCCAAGAAAGCTGCTGAAAAGCTGCTGGGTTCATTGGATATTGACCACACTCAGTACCGGTTTGGCAACACCAAGGTCTTCTTCAAAGCAGGCTTGCTGGGTACATTGGAGGAGATGCGAGACGAGCAACTCTCCCGCATCATTACCATGATCCAGGCCAATGCCAGAGCCATCCTCATGAGGGCAGAGTACCAGAAGCTTGTGGAACGCAGGGATGCTCTAATGGTCATCCAGTGGAACCTTCGCGCCTTCTTAGGGGTTAAGAACTGGCCCTGGATGAAGATGTTCTTCAAAATCAAGCCACTGCTGAAGAGTGCTGAGTCTGACAAGGAGATGGCAAACATAAAGGATGAGTTCACTAAGCTCAAAGAGGCCTTTGAGAAATCCGAAGCAAGACGGAAGGAGCTTGAGGAGAAAGTGGTGAGTATTCTCCAAGAGAAGAATGACCTGCTCCTACAATGCCAGTCTGAGCAGGACACACTAACAGATGCTGAAGAGCGCTGTGAGCAGCTCATAAAGAGTAAGATCCAAATGGAAGCCAAATTGAAAGAACTGACAGAACGTATGGAGGATGAAGAGGAGATGAATGCAGATCTCACAGCAAAGAAACGCAAGCTGGAGGATGAGTGCTCTGAGTTGAAGAAAGATATAGATGACCTTGAGCTGACATTAGCCAAGGTAGAGAAAGAGAAACATGCCACAGAGAACAAGGTGAAGAACCTCACAGAGGAGATGGCTTCCCAGGATGAAAACATCATGAAGCTGACCAAAGAGAAGAAGGCACTGCAGGAGGCTCATCAGCAGACACTCGATGACCTACAGAGTGAGGAGGACAAAGCCAACACCTTGACTAAAGCTAAAGCTAAGCTGGAGCAACAGGTGGATGACCTTGAGGGCTCCCTGGAACATGAAAAGAAAGTCAGAATGGAGCATGAGCGCTCCAAGAGAAAGCTTGAGGGAGACCTAAAACTGAACCAAGAGAATTTGATGGATTTGGAGAACGACAAACAGCAGCTGGAGGAGAAACTCAAGAAGAAAGATTTTGAGATGAGCAGCCTGACTGGAAAGATTGAGGATGAGCAGGTGGCTGGAGTTCAGCTCCAGAAGAAACTGAAGGAAAACCAGGCACGAATCGAAGAGCTTGAAGAGGAGTTGGACGCTGAGCGAGCAGCCCGAGCCAAAGTGGAGAAGCAGCGGTCTGATCTCTCCCGTGAGCTAGAGGACATAAGTGAGCGTTTGGAGGAAGCGGGAGGGGCCACATCTGCCCAGGTGGAGCTCAACAAGAAGAGGGAGAATGAATTTCTGAAGCTTCGCAGGGACCTGGAGGAATCCACGCTTCAACATGAGGCCACTGCTGCATCCTTGAGGAAGAAGCATGCGGACAGTGTGGCCGAACTGGGTGAGCAAATCGACAACCTCCAGCGTGTCAAGCAGAAGCTAGAGAAAGAGAAGAGTGAGCTGAAGCTGGAGCTAGACGACCTGTCCTCAAATATGGAGAGTGTGGTGAAGGCCAAATCCAACATGGAGAAGATGTGCCGATCGATGGAAGACAATATGAATGAATACAAGACCAAGTATGAGGAGGCCCAGAGGTCCCTCAATGACTTCTCCTCACAGAGGGCCAGGCTGCTCACTGAAAATGGAGAGTTGGGACGTCAATTGGAGGAGAAAGAGTGCCTGATTTCTCAACTCACCAGGGGCAAGAACTCCTACACCCAGCAGGTGGAGGATATGCGCAGGCAGCTCGAGGAGGAGGTCAAGGCAAAGAATTCACTGGCCCATGCTGTGCAGTCTTCCCGTCATGACTGTGACCTGCTCAGAGAACAGTTTGAGGAGGAGCAGGAGGCCAAGGCAGAGCTGCAGAGGGCGTTATCCAAGGCCAACACTGAAGTGTCCACATGGAGGGCAAGGTATGAGACTGATGGAATCCAGAAAACTGAGGAGCTGGAGGAAGCTAAAAAGAAGTTAGTCCAACGGCTGCAAGAAGCAGAGGAGGCTGTGGAGGCTGTGAATGCAAAGTGTTCCTCCCTCGAAAAGACCAAGAGTCGCCTCCAAAATGAAATCGAGGACCTGATGTTGGATCTTGAAAGATCTAATGCAGCATCTGCAGCTCTGGACAAGAAGCAGAGAACCTTTGACAAAGTCATGGCTGAGTGGAAGCAGAAGTATGAGGAGTCACAGTGTGAGCTTGAGGGTTCCCAGAAGGAGGCTCGGTCTCTCAGCACTGAGCTCTTCAAATTGAAGAATGCATATGAGGAATCCTTGGATCACCTGGAGACCATTCAAAGGGAGAACAAGAACCTGCAGGAGGAGATCTCTGACATTACTGATCAACTTGGTGAGGGAGGGAAAAGCGCCCATGAATTGGAGAAACTTCGGAAGCAGCTGGAGCAAGAGAAAGCAGAGCTCCAGTCAGCACTGGAGGAGGCGGAAGGTTCCCTGGAGCACGAAGAGGGCAAGATCCTTCGGGCACAGCTGGAGTTCAACCAGGTGAAGGCGGATATTGAGCGCAAGCTGGCCGAGAAAGATGAGGAAATGGAACAGGTTAAGAGAAACTACCAGCGCATGGTGGAGTCACTGCAGACCTCCCTCGAGTCTGAGACCAGGAGCCGCAACGAGGCCCTGAGAGTCAAGAAGAAGATGGAGGGTGACCTCAACGAGATGGAGATCCAGCTTAGCCAAGCCAACAGACAGGCGGCTGATGCCCAAAAGCAGCTTAAGAGCATCCAGTCATACCTGAAGGATACCCAGCTGCAGCTGGATGACTCTACACATGAGAATGAAGACCTGAAGGAGAACATTGCACTTTTGGAGCGCAGGAACAATCTGTTCCAAGCGGAGCTGGAGGAACTTCGGGGCGTTCTTGAGCAGACAGAGCGTGGCCGCAAGCTGGCCGAACATGAGCTCACCGAAGCCACAGAGCGCATGCAGCTCCTGCACTCTCAAAACACCGGCCTCATCAACCAGAAGAAGAAACAAGAGGCTGATCTGCTCCAACTGCAGACCGAGGTGGAGGAAGCGGTACAGGAGAACCGCAATGCTGAAGAGAAGGCCAAGAAGGCCATTACCGATGCAGCCATGATGGCTGAGGAGCTGAAGAAGGAGCAGGACACTAGCGCCCACCTGGAGCGCATGAAGAAGAACATGGAGCAGACCATTAAGGACCTGCAGCACCGTCTGGATGAGGCGGAACAAATCGCAATGAAGGGTGGGAAGAAGCAGCTCCAAAAGCTGGAGGGACGCATCAAGGAGTTGGAGAGTGAGCTGGAGGCGGAGCAGAAGAGGGGCACAGAGTCCATCAAGGGGGTGCGCAAGTACGAGAGGCGCATCAAGGAGCTCACCTACCAGACGTCGGAGGATCGCAAGAACATGGCTCGCATCCAGGACCTGGTGGACAAGCTGCAGCTGAAGGTGAAGTCCTACAAGCGTGCCTCCGAGGAGGCGGAGGAACAGGCCAACGCCAACCTGGCCAAGTTCCGCAAGCTGCAGCATGAGCTAGAGGAGGCTGAAGAGCGAGCAGACATCGCCGAGTCTCAGGTGAACAAACTCCGGGCCAAGACCAGGGACGGGTCCGGCAAGAAGGGCTTGGATGAGTGATGAGGTCCCAAAACAGCAATATCACAGGTGTGTTGATTAAAACAATTATAACTTTTTTTCTCACAATGACACTATAGAGCAGAATGTAGGATTTGAAGAATATAACCCGTATTCCAGACAATGAGTACGTTTTACATGCATACTTATAATTCATTATGACTTACTTACTCTGATTATTTTAATCGGCGTAAAGGCCATAAGCGAAGTAAGCGTAAACCGATTAAAACACCTAGATTTTTTTAGCAATCTTTCAAATTATTACCTTAATCGGAGTTCCTGCTGTGTATTTGATCTGCACATATGCTATCACCAGCAGTGCGAGCCTCCCTCTTTGGCGCGAGTGAAGTGAGTTTGGAAAATCCGAAAGTATGCATCATATAAATTATTTTCAGATGCAAACTTATATGTCCAAACTCAGAATCCAATAGGCTTCCCAAAAAGTATATGATCACTGTGATAAAACGTTTACGTTGATAGGGTATTTTCTGCTTTTTTCAGTCCCATCAGGTTGCCTGATTTACAGCTGTCCATGTAAACCAGATTATAAGGGAAATCGATCTTCTTGCAAAGCATGTAAATGTTTTAATCACACTATTATAGCAATGAGAGTAATCACAATAATCATATTATTGGGCGGCAGGTAGCTTAGTGGTTAAGAGCGTTGTGCCAGTAACCGAAAGGTCGCTGGTTCTAATCCCCGAGCCGACTAGGTGAAAAATCTGTCGATGTGCCCTTGAGCAAGGCACTTAACCCTAATTGCTCCTGTAAGTCGCTCTGGATAAGAGCGTCTGCTAAATGACTAAAATGTAAATGTATTGAATGCATGTACATTTACCTAATTATTTAAGAGGAATAGGCTTCATCGGTTTAAGAATACATACCTAATTCCAATGCCCTAAATAATTTCCCTGTGCTACATCAATCACGTTGTATTGTAACTACACAATTAAAGTGAAATGTGAATACCATGGTCGGTTATGATAATTACTAAAATGTCACGCTTAGGGCTTATGCATGTCTTTACCGTGTTGTACACAGGTTTAAACTATACAGCAGGAAGATGCATTGGTGGATTTGTAAGTGTGGCTTCATGTCTAGTAAGTCTAACATGTCCTGTTGTTTTTGAGGACAGTGTGTAAACCGTAGCGGGGAGATGCTGTGTAATATTGGTGATCTAAAGCAGAGAAAAGGATGGGAAATGTTTTGATGTCAATAAAATATGTTTCCTTAAATTATTTTGTCTGATATATAACTCCCATGTTGTCTATTGATCCTTTAACTCAAAACATGAGTTACTGTAAGCCTTTCATTTGAAATAAGCCATTGATTTGATTCTGTTCCAGTAATGTGTCCATTATCAATGTAACAATACCGAATTGTCTCCACATTTTTAAAGTACATTGGAAATGAATGCTGCCAACTGTGCACCATAACATCTTAAATCCTTCAAAGACTGAAATGAAACTATCAACATTGTAATACAAATAGGAAAATATCGCACTGCTCTGCACATTGCATAATGTATCCTCTGGTTTTTCTGAGGATTACGTAACTTGATGAATACTCTACAGTTTGAGGAAGTTAACACACTTGGCAGGTGTATCATACATCAGAATACAAGGAAAACAGGGTAACAGGCCTGTACTCGATCCCAACCCCACAGCTTCTCTTCAAACAAGGGAGAGAGAATCTTGTCAGACCAGACTGAAACTGTCACTGTAACTGTGCTGGGTTTGGTTCAAAAGCATTCATTTTTTGTTATGTAAAACCTTACAATAGTTCAATTTAGCACCATTTTGGAAAAAGTATTATTTTGATCTTGCAATGTCAAAACAGTAAGGTTAAAAAGCAACACAAGCATGATCACGGAGGCCTGCTTATCTATATAGCCAAAGGCTATATAGGCCAAATACAGGTACGCTCAGTCACACACCAATCCGATCAGACATAGCCAAACAAACGTATTGCTCTTGTTTTGGCAGTGTCTGAGGCAGAACTGCGTTATATCCTGCCCCTTTTTTATTGGGGTTATATCTCTTTAAAATGAGCGGGTTCATTCCCTACATGTAAATAGATCTATCGCTCTACTGATACAAACATGAATCAGGCATTCAATGACATTGCACCGTATTTTAAATTGTGTCAATTGTATTCTAGCTGATCAGTGACAGCATATATTGACCAACACTGACCTCTAGAGGGGTTTATGGGAAATGTTTGTGGTTCGTAAAAACTACTGTACAAAGAAAATTAATAACACTAATAACATTTACATTTTACATGTTAGTCATTTAGCAGACAGAATGTGAAACACATTCATAGTACTCACGGTAAAGACAAACAAAACATGTATTTAATTTAAATGTAATTCTTTTTTAATTCTGACATTGTATGGAGAAGTGTCATATAGCCTAGTTCTACACAGTGCCCTGGGTTGAAATATGGTACCAACACAACAGTAATATAAAACCATAGCCTACTCAATCAACAGCCATTTTGTTGATTTAATGTCGTGTGTGTGTGTGTGTGTGTATGTGTGTGTGTGTATTTGGGAATGTGTGTGTGTGTTTGCGTGTGTGCGCGCAGTAAATTTACAGTTGATCATCCAAATGGGATGAATATTATTATGATTCGGAAGTCATGGGATATACTTCTATTTGTGCTCTAGTGTAGGACAAAAACAGGGCAGTGGTATGAAGATGTCCTAAAATGTCCTTTCATTCTTATTAAACACGTGATGACTAAAATGACTAAATGATGAGAAAAATCATATGAAAACAACGTTTAAATGAATCAGGGAATTAATTGAAAATGACAGGATATCTTGTGTTACCAGGGCACGTGCTAAAGATGACAGTGATAACGGCGTGTCACATTTTTACAAAGAGCAGAACCTGCCCCCTTTCAAGGCTGTTTTGGTGTCTGTCTCATGTCATCCACCCTCCCAGTATATGGTATGCTGCTATAGACACAAGCATACACACAAATTTGTGCACGCACACGAATTGACAGATAAAAGGTGCATGCACACACGGACATACACACCCAAACACACACACACAGACAACAAGGTTTCGGCCCGCATTGCGTTTCCACACTATTATGCCTCTCCCTCTCTGATCTCCTCTGGTTGAGGTGGCTGGGGGTGAAAAGAGAGAGAGAGAGACAGTTGCCTGTTTGATGTGCAGACGGTGGGCCATTAGAACCAGGCACTAGAGATGCACCTCATTCTGGCAGGAGATGGTGATGTCACAATTAGCCTCTAGACAGACGGGCTGCTTGCTTAGCTTGCGATGCTCCAAGGTCTGGGATACCTGAGACTACATCACTATCAGTAGCTAACAGCGAAAAAAATAGGCCAGTTAGGCCAACTTGTCCTACTAAGGTGAAAAACATTGGATTGGTGTAAACATGGGCGAGAAAGAGTTTCCTTCCGTCATATTTTTTTACACCAGTCTCAGCACTATTCCTTTTAAATCCAAGTCACATTGCAATTGACTTTATAATTGAAAGGACCAATCAGCAGGTAAAATAATAACAAAGCCGATTCTCCGCCACTGTTTCGGTAAAAAGCTGAGGGATGGGGTTGGAGAATTGTAACCACTCTAAAATTAACAGACAGACCTATGGATGCAAGGACTGACCCTCCAAGATATCAACATTATAGTTTTAACCATGTTTTGAGGCTGTACAGTGTTTGTTTACATTTACAAACATTGAAGTAAAACAAGCTTATATTTTGGGTTCTGATGGGGAACGACAGTCAAACTAAGCTTATGAGGCATTTATAAGTTATATTCTTCAAGAATCAATGTGTACAGATAATTAATTTATAAGTAAAAAAAATTGATGTAGAAATTGCTGATTGCCCCTTTAAACCTATGACCTGACTCATCATATTATGCATTGCTGTCCCCCAGACATCCCAGAAAAAACAAGAAAAAACGATACAACATAAATGTCTCCTAGCCACACATGCTTTCTCTCCCTAACACTAATACTAAAACTGAAATGTAATCATATGAAAACAAAATATAAATCCTTTTATACAATTAAAATTAAATAAATACTAGCAAATCAGGTCTGAAAACTAACTGAAATTAAACTGAATTCCAAATAAAAAAAACGAATAGAAATACAAAGTAAAAAGAACAAAACGATAATAACTTTGGGATGCACACATACAGGCAGGCAGGCAGGCAGGCAGGCAGGCAGGCAGGCAGGCAGGCAGGCAGACATACATTCTTGTCAAACACCTCAAACCTGTCAAACAGGACACTTCTTCATGTAAGATATGAAACATAGATTGTGTAGCCATACACACGTGCTGAAATAACATGAATGAAAAACAATAGTAAAATATACCTAACCACATTTTAAATGAAAATCAGTCAATTCAAATAAATTCATTAGGCCCTAATCTATGGATTTCACATAACTGGAAACAGATATGTATCTATTGGTCACAGATACCTTAAACAAAAGGTCAGGGCTTGGATCAAAAAACCAGTCAGTATCTGGTGTGAACACCATTTGCCTCATGCAGCGCAACACATCTCCTTCGCATAGAGTTGATCAGGCTGTTGATTGTGGCCTGTGCGATGTTGCTGGATATTGGCGGGAACTGGAACACGCTGTCGTACACGTCGATCCAGAGCATCCCAAACATGCTCAATGGGTGGTAACATGTCTGGTGAGTATGCAGGTACTGGGACATTTTCAGCTTCCAGGAATTGTGTACAGATCCTCGCGACATGGGGCCGTGCATTATCATGCTGAAACATGAGGTGATGGCGGCGGATGAATGGCACTACAATGGGCCTCAGAATCTCGTCACTGTATCTCTGTGCATTCAAATTGCCATCAATAAAATGCAATTGTGTTTGTTGTCCGTAGCTTATGTGTGCCCATACCATAACCCCACCGCCACCACGGGGCACTCTGTTCACAACGTTAACATCAGCAAACCGCTCGCCCACACGACGCCATACACGTGGTCTGCGGTTGTGAGGCCGGTTGGACCTACTGCCAAATTCTCTAAAACGACATTGGAGGTGGCTTATGGTAGAGAAATTAACATTACATTCTCTGGCAACAGCTCTGGTGGACATTCCTGCAGTCAGCATGCCAATTGCACGCTCCCTCAAAACTTGAGGCATGTGTGGCATTGTGTTGTGTGACAAAACTGCACATTTTAGAGTGGCTTTTTATTGTCCCCAGCACTAGGTGAACCTGTATAATGATCATGCTGTTTAATCAGCTTCTTGATATGCCACACCTGTCAGGTGGATGGATTATCTTGGCAAAGGACACTAATAGGGATGCAAACAAATTTGTGCACAAAATTTGAGAGTAATAAGCCTTTTGTGCGTATGGAAGATTTCTGGGATCTTTTATTGCTAATACAAAATAACCTTCAGTGTGTCTGGCTTGTGGGCATTGGTTAATTGGCTGTAATTGAGTGTCCTGGCAGCACCAAAGAGTCCTGGCCCGTGCCCATGCAGTCTGCCCTCGGTTCCTCCTCCCCTGAGTTTATAGTGTGGTCCTCTGTAGCTCAACTGGTAGAGCACGGCGCTTGTAACGCCAAGGTAGTGGGTTCGATCCCCGGGACCACCCATACACAAAAATGTATGCACGCATGACTGTAAGTCGCTTTGGATAAAAGCGTCTGCTAAATGGCATATTATTATTATTATAGTGCCCAGCCACTTTATTACCCAACCCCGCTGCTCAAGGGCCACCAAGGGATTCTGTCTCTCTCTCTCTCTCACACACACACACACACACACACACACACACACTTGTTACCGTGTCACAAGATGCCAAAAGCGTAAAACCTACGTAAAGACAGGAAATGATGTCACAGGAGTATTGACAGATGGGCTAACTGTAGATCTAAAGAGGACATCATGATGTCATGATAGCGGCCATGTTCCAGACAGATTTGGAGGCCACCTGCTGAGCACCAAAATGGATACAAGTGGATTGGCAATCTGCAGTGACTGGTTACATCTGTCACTCTAACACACAGATCACTAGTTACACATGAATGAGCATACTCACTCACTCAAAAAAAACGAAAAAAAGTACACATAGGCCTACATTTCACACACTTGCAGGAATAACCCCCCCCCCACCAACCACACACACACACCCTTCCCCCCTCTGGAGGATGAAACGCAGAGGAGCAAAATGTGAGCTGGAGGCTGTCGCCATTGGAGACTGTCACCAGGGGAGACAGACTGACTGACGTAGGCCTGCTGTCTGTCAGCAACATTAATCCAGTGGCCCCTGTCTCTGCCTCCCTGGTGACAGATAATGATACTATGATGCTCCACAATGACCTTGAAAATACTAAAGCATCAATGATTGATCACCAAATCCAATTTAGATCAACATACCAGGCTGCTATGGGGACCACGAGGAACCTTTTCATAGTCTGAATTGAGTTATGACAGAGGTCTGGACCCAACACAGGAAGTCAATATTAATCTTCCATGTAAAGAGAAACAAGTAAAAGCATTCCTGGCTGTGCTAGTTGGATGGAGTCCCAGAACAACAAGGTCCCCTCCCTTGACAGTCCCGGGTGCGTCGCCGAGCTGAAAGAGCTGTGCCTGCTTGCTTGGGAACGTAGCTTGCGTCATGGCGCTGACGTGATTCGCGCAATGCCATCATCGTGACAAACCCGACGCCCGTGTGTGACCGAGGTGTGAAATGTGAAAACTTGGATTGTTGCATGTAAAAAAAAACGGTCTCCTGTGATATTTCTTTCGCATAGACAATGTGGCTTAAATATATTTGTTATTCTATTAAAAGAGCAATAGAAATTAAATACATATTTATTGTGCACAGCCTTCCTTGTCTGGTAATCGGCCGGCAGGTAACTTAGTGGGTAAGAGCGTTGTGCCAGTAACCGAAAGGTCGCAATTCAAGCAATTCCTCCATCCTTCAAATTAAACTTTGATAGCCAGGGAGACCCTTCTTGGGGTTTTAAAAATATTTCAATAAGATGACAGTTCTGTATTCTATCACAATTGCCAACACGTACACCTAAGCTTAGCTCATACCTCTGTTTGTCCCAATGGTTTACTACGCGGAGCTGTCCATGCAATCGATCGCTTGTGCTCAATGCCAACATCACTCATTGCGCATCAAGACTTTATGTAGTTCAAGTATTAGATGACTGAACAACCAAAAAGTAATCAAAATAGATCCTGGGGAATTAATTAAGCAACCAGCTGTGTACTGAATTGATGTGCATGTGGAACATTTACATTTTAGTCATTTAGCAGACGCTCTTATTCCAAAGCGACTTACAGTTTTTTAGTGAGTGCATACGTTTTCATACTGCCCCCCGTGGGAATCGAACCCACAACCCTAGCGTTGCAAACGCCATGCTCTACCAACTGAGCTACACGGGACATTTCTGGGATCTTTTATTTCTAAATCAAAATAACCTTCAGTTTGTCTGGTTTGTTGGCATTGGTTAATTAGTTGTAATTGAGTGTCCTGGCAGGCAGGCAGGCTATAGCTCTTTAATATAGTCTATAGGCGACATACAGTGTGTATTGCATGTGGTCGTAAACCAGTATGGTAGGTTTTTATCTTTGTGTATTTACATGGACGCAAAAAATAAAGATCACTATGTGTATTCATCTATCATGGAACAATAATTCAATGTCTGATGTGTTAAAATAATGGCATTTGAGGACAGTAAAATGGATCAATGCAGGGTAAAAAAAAAAAAATCAATTGCATCGCTTCTTCAAAGACCCGCCTCCCGACCATGTTTTGAGACCAGACCGTCCACTTAATTTGCTGGACAACAGAGAGGCTCCCTTTGTACGTTGCTTCATTTAATGAGTAGGATAAATCACCTCCTCACTGCCGGGACGCAGAGCCTCTATATAATCGCCTAACAGAGCTTTCGCTGGTGTAAACAATTGCGGTGAGTGTAGCAGAAAGCGCATGGACCACGGAGACTAGCGCACCGCACCAGCTCATTTCCTTCCCAGTAAATGACTGGGAATGGTGCAACCGATTTATGAAGTGAGCCCGTGTTGTATCCGAGCCAAGATGAGCGCGATAGTAATCTGTTTGATTACGAAGTGATCCGTCTGTGTGAAAGACACATTTTGTGTGCGTTAATTAAGCGTCCAACGGGCTAAGCATCTTCTCTTGCACGGTGGATACCATATAATCCTTCAAGACGGACGGCGTGGCGGAGCGAAGAGGGAGAAGGGCGAACATGAGGGACAGGGACTTCATGCCCAACATTGAACGGGGTAAACCCGCCACATACACGGGGGAGAAAAAGGCGAAAATGGCTGCGAAGACTAACAAAAAGTGGGTGAGACTGGCCACAGTTTTCGCATACGTGTTGTCTGTGTCTCTGGCGGCTATAATATTGGCCATATACTACAGCCTAATATGGAAACCGACGTCTGCCTCCTCATCATTTGCGAGACCCAATGCTGTGACCGTCGTCGCGGCGAATACTACTGCGAACATAACCACTAGTAGTGTGCCAAATAATACAATGCACACAGGTACGCAGACGGACGCTAGTACACGTGACGACACGAGGTCCAAGGCATCACCAGTTACCATCAGAACAGAGACGTCTGGGACGGAGGCATTTCAGTGGGGGGATAGTAGTAGTAAAAGTCCCACGGTTCCCGCAGACGACAATACGGCCAAAACAGCGATTGTCGGACCAACGAATGGACAAGTGGTCTCCGCGCAAAGCTACGCAATTACAAACAACAAATTGTCAACTCCGACAGAAGTCAGACACGCGTCTCCAAGTGTCACTGGAGAGGATTCAGCGAACTTGCCGACGCACGCAACCAGGGACCAAGAGGAGAAGTGGTGGACGTTTAGCTTGGTCTCTCCCGCTGTTGGAGTACAACAGGAGCCTGTGGAAGGATCTGGGCTGGATTCTATTCAAGAGAGCCAAGCCACGGATTCTTCTCGGATGAGCGGAGTGACGCTCGCGGAAGCCTCGGCGGCTACAAACGCAGACCAACAGACTCTGCGCACAGACTCTACCTCTGACCAGGCTCAGGGTACATGGGGACCGGTTACCTTTACCGATGCACAACGTGATTCGGATTTAATAACGGAAGGGTCTTCTAATTTACCAGAGCAGAGGCGGGAGGAGCTAGTTCAAATGGACAACGGAGACGCCTCAGCGAGAACTACACAGTCCTAAACGCACATGCTTTTTTGGGCACCATACAAACTGCGGTATAGGGCCTATTCATATAACACATTGACGCTTTTGGAAAATTAGCATTATAGCCTAACATTCCAATATTTAAGTTATGCCTTCATTTGGTACCCTTATTTGGATTGTTGGCATCACAACATTTCTATTGATGCATCTTCAAATGTGACCCCATAATGTTGAGGAAATTAACGAAATAATTTGACGCGTCTGGATTGGGCTAAAGGCCTATGTTTAAATGTGTTGTTTACATTGGACCTTATTCCCAATGATAAGGGAGCCATGATACACAAACAGCCTATAGCTATTTAACGGGAAAGAGATTTGAATGATCTATCTTTATATGCTCTGTCCCAAGGTAAGATGATATCAGGAATGGATTGGCAGAGGAAAATATGTAGTCCCTCTCAGGTAGCCTATGTCCATAACCTTACACATTTAGCCGCAAGATGCACTGTGTTTTGGTATTTTCATTAGGAGTAACATTGTGCGCACCGACCTTTGTTGACGTTATAGCCAAATGTAGCCACTTTTCTTTTACAATATCCATGTGCAATATGTAGCCTATATGAAGAGACAAATAAAACATTTTGATAATAATATTGTTTTTCATGGTTTGTCACGTTTACACTGTAGTAGGTTATTTAGACAACCGGACTTGAGATCATGCTTTATGCACTTATTTCAATAACTTTTGCGCACGCACTCCTTCTTCGACTAAATAAATGACCCAATTATCAAATAGAGTAGGGTGTTCTTATTATTTCAACTGGGACCCATTGAGATCTTTATGCTCTGAAAGGTTGCTTTGTCTTTCATATTTTTCAATTAGATATTGCTTGTTGGCGCAAGGGATACTTTTTCAGGGCGGGCGGGGAACAATAGGCTACATTAAACACTTTGGAACGTGTCCATGTATGATCAAAATATACAGAGGTACTGTACAAGAAAGCACGTTCTCGTTGTTGTAAACAAATGATGCACTGGGAGGGAGGAAACGGTGACACAACGGCCCTCAGCTGAGAAAATGTATTAATATATTACCAGTGGTGGAAAAAGTACCGAATTGTCATAGTAAAGATACCTTAACAGAAAATGACTCAAGTAAAAGTGAGAGTCACACAGTTAACTTCTACTCGAGTAAAAGTCTAAAAGTATTTGGTTTAAAATATACTTAAGTATCAAAAGTAAAAGTAAAAGTATAAACCATTTCAAATTCCTTATATTAAGCAAATAAGACGGAACCATTTTCTTGTTTTTTTAATGTACGGATAGCCAGGGGCACACTCCAACATTCAGACATCATTTACAAACGAAGCATGTGTGTTTAGTGAGTCCGCCAGATCAGAGGCAGTAGGGATGACCAGGGATGTTCTATTGATAAGTGCGTAAATTGGACCATTTTCCTTGTCCTGCTAAGCATTCAAAATGTAACGAGTACTTTTGAGTATCAAGGAAAATGTATGGAGTAAAAAGTACAATATTTTCTTAAGGAATGTAGTAAAGTAAAAGTAGTCAAACATATGAATAGTAAAGTAATGTACAGATACTCCAAAAAACTACTTAAGTAGTACTTTAAAGTATTTTTACTTAAGTACTTTACACCACTGTATATTACAAAGTATGACAGCTGTTTCCATGTTGGTGTATTGGCAATGGGCCATGAAATGGGTTGCTTGCAAACTGCAGACATTGGGCAATACCAGAGTGACAACAGTTTACTGGCTGACACATTTCCTAATACATTTCACATTACGTTTACATGAAGAATATATTTCAGAGTTCTGGGGCATTGGACATTAAATGCTTTGTGAATGTGTGAAGGAAAGAAATGAGAAATAAACGGCACCAGAGAGAAAGGGAAAGGTTAATGTGAGAGAGAGAGAGTTTTCATCTAATCAGATTGAACTCCAAGAGGAATCGAATTTCTTAATTAGCATAGACTTCCATGTTATCCTTCCACCCTATCCTTTCATTCTGCTGAGACCAGAATGGGCTCTGCTCTTCAGTGTCATAAGAATGTCCTGCACATACGAATGGGAATCGAACATGGGACGAGAGCTTAACCGATCTACACACAAAAAACTTGAGTCAACAGGTCCCTTTACATGCCGGCTATTAGGAAAGGTGAATTCCCTTGAAAACAGTGGCCATGGTTTAGCTTGGTCAGTTCTGAAATAGTATAACACAACGATAAAAGTCATAGCCATTGTTTTTCCGCTGTCAATTTGATGCAATGCTGCACAATAATCTTAGCTTGACTCTGTATCATTCTATGCCACAGTGAGTTTTCAGTCCCTGCCTTGACAACCTTCCAGAATCCTTTTCTCAGGGTCGGACTAGCCATCTGACGTTTCGGGCAAATGCCAGATGGGCTGGTCCAATTTAAGCCTAGTGGGCCTGTCTAACTTTTTTTTTTGCAACATGCTAATTATCTGGCTAATAATGGGGCCTCAAGGAAAAAAAATGGGCCAGTGTTTTAGAAATGCCAGGGCCTATTTTTGGTCCCAGTCCGACCCTGCATTTACCTGTGCCCTGCACCATACCATGTGTGCTCCCAGGCTCTCCTGGCAAAACCTGGCCATTGTTCAACAGAAGGCGAGGCCGGGCTCTTCATCACCGTGAGTTACCTCACTCCCGCTCATCCAAGTAATAGCTCTCCATCCCCAATGGGACCTGCATTAGTTCTGCCACAAATAACTGTACCCTCAGAGGACTATCAATTTCGCTGTCATCCCTTACCCATCCTTCCAGTCTTTAACACCCTTCTTCTAGAGACACCAGTGTGTTTTCTTAGGACTAAACTGACAAACAGATGCTAGTCCAAAGAGGAGTCTGGTGAACACTAAAGTGCCCAAAGCCCGTTGAGGGCTCACGGTGTCATGTGGGCCTTTCTGTCCTTCATGCAGGAGAAATGGATGCATGCTATTTCTCTTCATGTTATGTTGAGTGTCGGTAGGAGGTTTTGAGAGTAAGGGAGGTGGAAGGGCAGGGGGGTTTATCTTACAGATTGCCTTTTGATGGTGCAAAGTTCAAGGATCAAGGCCTGATCCAGGTCTTTTAGCAATAACAAATACAATACAGAAAACAATAGGCACTTCAAACTGGTCTAAAGCCAAGAATAAGTAGTATTTTACTGGGTGACTTTCACTTTTACTTGAGTCAAGTAAAAATGACTCAAGTAAAAGTGAAGTTCACCCAGTAAAATATTACTTGAGTTAAAGTCTACAAATATTTGGTTTTAAATATACTTAAGTATAAAAAAAAATAGATGTAATTGCTAAAATATACTTAAGTATCAAAAGTAAAAGTATAAATCCCTTATATTAAGCAAACCAGACGGCACAATTTTTTTGTTTTATACATTTACGGATAGCCAGCAGAACTCTCCAACACGTAGACAATCATTTACAAAGAAAGCATTTGTGTTTACTGAGTCCACCACATCAGAGCAGTACGGATGACCAGGGATGTTCTCTTGATAAGTGTGTGAATTTGACCATTTTCTTGTCCTGCTAACCATTCAAAATGTAACAAGAACTTTTAGGTGTCAGGGAAAATGTATGGAGTAAACAGTACATCATTTTACGTAGGAATGTAGAGGAGTAAAAGTAAAAGTTGTCAAAAAATATAAATAGTAAAGTAAAGTACAGATACCCCACAAAACAATACTTAAGTAGTACTTTAAAGTATTTTTACTTACATCACTAAATTTTTGCGATAGTGGTGCAATCAGTTGGTTGTAATTTTGGATAGAGCAGACATTTCCATATATTTTTGTTAGCTGCATGTGTGACATAACTCCGCCAGTCCTACTTATGATATCATTAACAAAGATTATACCGTTTGTAAATCTTTCTCTCCAAAAATATATGTATTTTTTTATCAATTAGTATATGAGTTTAACCATAATATTTGTTGTAATATTTGTTCTATCTTTTCTGGTGCATTAAACTGAAATTGCAACCAGCTTTCTATCGCTTGTTTAAAAAAATAGCGATATTCTGTAGATTATATAATTTTTTATGACCTTTGTCTTGCTGCAGTTGATAACCAGGCCTACTTGCTGGCCAAAGGACTGGAGTCTGTCAATGTTGAGTTGTAGATGTTGGTGTGTGTGAGATAAAACAGTCGTATTCAAGGTCTTCTAGAAGACAAGGTCCATCGTATTCCTCTTGCATGATCTTCTGTTGTTCAACGTATGACCCAGTCTATTGCCAGGTTGAAGAGTAGGGCTGAAATCACACAACCTTGACGAACTCCAGACTTCACAGCAAAGCTCATGTTGTTCGTTCTGACAGTGCATGAGAAGTTGCTGCAGATCTGTTTTATGATGTTAACAACATGGGTGGAGATTCCATAAATTCTTAAGATCTTCCATAAGCTTTCGCAGTGGATGCTGTTAAAAGTATTCTGGAAGTCAATAAACTTTATGTAGAGCTTCCAATGCAACTCACTACATTGCTCAATAATGTTCCTGAGGGCAAAGATCTGGTCTGTACACCTCCTTCCTCCCCTAAAACCTGCTTGTTCGTTCATAAGCACTTTGTCTACAGCTAAAGACATCCGTGGAACGATAATCTTGCAAAATATCTTGTTGGGAACTGATGCCCATCCAGTTGTTGCAGTAGTGTGCCCTTCTTAGGTACCTGTATGATGATCCCCTTGGTCCATTCTGAAGGTATCTTTCCTTTCATCCAGATGTCAGTGAAGAGCGGAAGGAGGATGTTTGCAGCCAAAACTGGATCGATCTTGAACAGCTCTGCATTGAGGTTATCAGGACCTGGAGCTTTTCCATTTTTTAGTGACTTGATGGTAGTGATTATTTATTATTTGGTTGGTGTTTATGTCTAGATCTTCTGGAGCAGCTTCAGGTGTTTTAATTAGATCCACAGGGGGTTCTCTGTTAAGAACCTCTGAAATGTTCTTTCCAGCTTGCTTCCTGTTCATTTTATGTATTTCACTTGAATTTTCTGCCACAGATTAGGTTAGTGATTTTGTATACTGTTCCTTTCGCCCTTTTGACTCTTCTTACTAGCCTTTTGACTCTTCCAATGTCTGTTTCAGCCTTTTTGATTTGGCATCTGTTTTGTTTTTCAGGTCCCTTCTTTCCTCAATCATTTCCCATGTTTCCGGGGTGATCCATTCCTTGCCACCTTCTGTGTCCATGGTTTTCTTGCTGCTTTTACTGTACGTTTTAACCAGTTTCTCCCACTTCCTATCTATATTCCCCTCAGTTTCCTCCTCATCTTCTTCTTCTGTGTTGTTTGAAAGGGCTTAACACACTTGTTGTGAAAATGCATTATGAAGGTTTTCTTGATGGTTTGGTCTCTCAGCATGCCAACATGTTGGTGGTCCTGAATGTTTCAGCTTTAGTTTGATGTTGGCAATCACAAGATGGTGGCCACTGGCGACATCTGCCCTCCTTTGCACCTTGACGTCCCTCAGCGAGCTTCTCCACTTGCCGTTGATCGTCAGGTGGTCAATCTGGTTCTTGTACCATTTAAGCTTGTGGATATTATTGTGGCTGCCACCTATCACCAGGTTATTTGTGACGCAGAATGTTGCCAGTCTGTCACCGTTATCATGGCTAGTCTGGCTGTTATCATTCTACTGCTGATTGGTTTCCATTCCATTAGAGTTCTCTACACCTTTCTGTAGGATGATGGCGACACCAGAGTGTAGTACTGTTTCTCCAGTGCTGGTTGTCGTGGATCCAGAGCTAGTCCACCTGGCTTCACTCAACCCAGGATCTGTAGCTTGTATCTCCTCATTTCATTGGTAACCTGTGCCAGCTTTCTGGACGCAAACATTGTTAGAAAATTCCAAAAGCCAAAGTGCAGTTTGTTTTTGGTGTTCAGTGCTCCCATAAGTACGTCACTAGTTTCCCGTAGGCTTTCACTGATGGCGGTCATACAAGTCTGGGAATCTGGGAGATCTTCGCATCCAGTTGTAGAATTGTAATTTGTTGCGGTTTCTGTAGCACAAAGTTTTTGCGGGATGCCATTGCTAGCCCCATGCCCAACCATCCACCTTTTCTGGTTTCGGGAGATTTTGGAGTTATTTGTTAGTCCTCTCCCCTAGCCGTTTGTCTTCTTGGTGATGGATTACAGTCTCGTACCACGTGAGGCCAGACAGGCTTTGGGTTGTGTACAAGCAGCTCCGGCGTGTCAAGCCCAACCAACTCCAGCTATGTTGGTTTTGGTTTCACCAGTTCATACCAGCAGCGCAAAACATTTCGGGACTGTATCGACAGTGGACAAATGAAAAAAAATACCAGAAGATAGTTTGAGTGGATTATTCCTTTAATGAAATGTTGAAATAAGTATTTACAATTCTTGCTAAGTCATGAACTGTAATGATCAGCCTTTTACTATTACTTATTATTGGTAGGAAATAGAAGGTGACCACTGAACATGCTAATCCTGCTGTTGTCAAATATGCTACTGCCACTCCAGAGAACCACACAGACTTTGTCTCCTTCCACTAGGTCTAGTGTGATTCCATTGGCCCCGCCGTGGTAAATGCCGGATTTTGGGTTTGCAGTTTCATAGACGGCAGCCATTTTCACACCGTTCTTAAGCAATGCTGCATTCGCCTTCCCTGAATTCCCAACATTGCAAGTGAATGTGAAGTAGTAGGCCCCTCCCACAGGTGCAGTAAAGACACCTGCATCAGGTGAGAAAGCAAGGTGGACAAAAACAACTGTGTGATTATGACACAACAGAACATGGACATACTGCTAAAGAAAAAGTGTAATATAAATATTTTTTAATTAAGAGCGTTACAAAGACACCCCAGTAAAATACATAAAGGTGCAATCTGTAGCTTTCATCATTGCCAGTGCCAACTCAAGGTACTACAAACACTTTCAGCCAAGAACCGAAAGATTAATTAAACCGTTTGATTCGCTAAATCCCATCCCCTCAGTTTACAAACAAGTGCAGGGCAGCGCTTGACACAAAATGAAAGTTACAGATTGCACCTTTAATATGATGTTGAGACTTATCTAGTGGGTAAATACCTGTATCTGGGTTATATGCTTCACCGATGTTTGTAGTGACCTTTTTGTACACCACGGTGGTGTCATTGTCGAAAGGTCCTAAGTGATAATGTTCATCGTTGACCGTAAGTGAAGTGGAGAAGGCCACTTTTGGTTTGCCTGTAGAAAGACGAATAATGTCCAGATTACTACACATCAAAGGTTTGAATCCAGATAGTATGACAGCCTGAACTTTTACACTTCTGTCCAATGATAGTGAAATAATTACAGAGCATGATGAACGCACACTTCCATTGATCATGCATCCGTGCAAACACACACAGTGTCCCTGCACGCCCGTAGGAACACTGACACACAAAGAAACTAAGGCTAGGGACAATTTCCAATCATGATAAGAAATGGCCAACATTACCGTTACACTCACTCTCCAGTTTCTCCACTCGGGCTACCAGTTCCCTCAGCAGCATGTCAACCTCGGACGCGAAAGCTGTTGAGGTGGGAACCAGGTTAGGCCAAGTTGTTGGTGAAATTGGCTCACTCTCCGTCCGAGTCTCAACCACACAACAGCACAGCAACATTACCACAGCCAAAACAGACTCCATCGCAGGGCTTTCAACGAACCGGGTGTGAGAGGTTTGCTGAGATGTCTGACTGCTCCTCATATGTTGAGTTAGATATATATATATGGATTGGTTTATTTAAAATGTAACCAGGGTTGCAAAATTCTGGTAACTAAAAAAATTTTCCCCAGCTTTAGCAGAAATCCTGGTTGGAATATTCGTGGAATCAGGAGGGAATAAGCAGGAAATCCGGGACTTCTCCAACCGGGATTTCTGGACAACCTGGGATTTTTGGTGTAATTACCAGAATTTTGCAACCCTAGTATCAGCAAAGTTCACTCAACTCTGTGCATCAACAAATTACATCAAACCAACCCTACGCTTTTTACTGTAATAGAGCAGCAAAGACAAAAGTATATTTTGATTAAAGGAGCATTCCACAACATTTCCATGAAATGTATGTCTGTTTTATCTGCAGAAGTAAAGGAATAAAATAACTAAACATAATACCTGTATGGCCAACTGGCATAACCTTGAAACAACATATTGATGATAACAAGAAACACTTGTTTCTCTTTAACAAATGTTTAAAATAAATTTGAGACACGGGTAGGTTGGATGCTTATATTTGTTTTATTTTCCAGAACAGAACAAAAAGCATTTGTGAACAAAACTGTTTTCTGTGAGACCGCAGTATATATGGTACAAACAGTATCTGAGGCTCCTTGGTTCCAAATCAACTAAACATATGCTCTACAGAGTGCTCAGACTCACTGTAGTTAGTGCTGGATATCTTAGTGGGAGGATTCCTATGCATCTGTGACATCTGATAAACCAGTTATACTGTATTGGTGATTAAGAATAATTATAAAATCATACATTTGTAAAACCTTAAAAAATCCAGTGTGCGTAAACATTGGAGAAATGCACCTGCAGTATTTCCTGAAGGATGATGAGCATCAGCGTTTGATTATTGTACATACAGTCGTATGAAAGAGTTTGGGCACCCCTCTGAGGCTGCATAATAATTTAATCTGTCGTCACAGAAAATGATCACAGTGGCATGCCATTCATTTTCTAATAAAAGCTGAGTACTGGGGTATTGTCCAGACAAAGATGTTTAGTGTAGCAATATTAAGTTGTATGAAATTAAAAATCAGTTGTGAAAAATAGGCTATGCAAAAATTTGGCCACCCTCGTCATTCTGTTGATTTGAATACCTGCAACTACTTAGCACTGATTAATTGGAACACACAATTGGTTTGGTGAGCTCATTAAGCCTTGAACTTCATAGACAAGTGCATCCAATCACGAGAAAAGGTATTTAAGGTGGCCAATTGCAAGTTGTTGTTCTCTTTGACTCTCCTCTGAAGAGTGGCAACATGGGGGCCTCAAAACAACTCTCAAATGACCTGAAAACAAAGATTGTTCAACATTATGGTTTAGGGGAAGGCTACAAAAAGCTATCGCAGAGATGTAAGCTGTCAGTGTCCACTGTGAGGAACATAGTGAGGAAATGGAAGACCACAGGCACAGTTCTTGTTAAGGCCAGAAGTGGCAGGCCAAGTAAAATATTGGAGAGGCAAAGGCGAAGGATGGTGAGAACGGTCAAAAACAGCCCACAGCCCACAGACCACCTCCAAAGACCTACAACATCATCTTGCTGCAGATGGTGTCACTGTGCATCGTTCAACAATTCAGCGCACTTTGCACAAGGAGAAGCTGTACGGCAGAGTGATGCGGAAGAAGCCTTTTCTGCACACACGCCACAAACAGAGTCGCTTGAGGTATGCAAACGCACATTTGGACAAGCCAGCTTCATTTTGGAATAAGGTGCTGTGGACTGATGAAACAAAGATTGAGTTATTTGGTCATAACAAGGGGCGTTATGCATGGCGGCAAAAGAACACAGCGTTCCAAGAAAAACACTTGCTACCCACAGTAGAATTTGGTGGGGGTTCCATCATGCTGTGGGGCTGTGTGGCCAGTGCCGGAACTGGGAATCTTGTTAAAGTTGAGGGTCGCATGGATTCCACTCAATATCAGCAGATTCTTGGGAATAATGTTGAAGAATCAGTCACAAAGTTGAAGTTACGCCGGGGCTGGATATTTCAACAAGACAACGACCCAAAACACTGCTCAAAATCTACCCGGGCATTTATGCAGAGGAACAAGTACAATGTTCTGGAATGGCCATCCCAGTCCCCAGACCTGAATATCATTGAGAATCTGTGGGATGATTTGAAGCGGGCTGTCCATGCTCGACAACCATCAAACCTAACTGAAGTGGAGATGTTTTGTAAGGAGGAATGGTCCAAAATACCTTCATCCAGAATCCAGACACTCATTAGAGGCTATAGGAAGCGTCTAGAGGCTGTTATTTTAGCTCTACTAAATATTGATGTGATTTTTCTGTTGGGGTGCCCAAATTTATGCACCTGTCTAATTTCGTTTTGATGCATATTGCACATTTTCTGTTAATCCAATAAACCTCATTTCACTACTGAAATATTACTGTATCCATCAGTTATTTGATAGATCAAAATGAAATTGCTGATCCAAACACCCAATTATTTATAAATGGAAATCATGGAAATTGTCAGGGGTGCCCAAACTTTTTCATATGACTGTACATTCCTACAAAACTTTACAATCATTAAAGCAAATGGTATGCTCTCCTCACATTGGAAAAAGCAGGGCACCAGTGAATATGCTCCTGTATCCATTGTCATAGATGCTGTTGCCACCCCAGAGGATAATGTTCACTTGATCACCTTCATCTAACTGCAGTATTACACTATTTGACCCCATGCTGTCAACATTACCCCTTCCAACCATGGCAGCCATATTTTGGCCGTTCTTCAACAGGGCCGCATTCACTTTTCCTGAAGTCCCAGAATTGCAAGTGAACGTGAAGTAGTAGACCCCTCTCACCGGTGCAGCAAAGATACCTGCATTGCAGGGAGAGGAGATGCATGCAATAGATGCATTAATTTCAACATCATACTCGTGGTACACATTCATTTCGTTTGGTTCAATTTATTTAAAAAATAGTTGAATTGCATGTTCGATGTCCGAAGGTATACAAGTCACGGACACTCAAAGCACTATGTTGAGCTCAAATTAGAATTCAAAATAAATCAGAAACAGTAATTATGCTGTAAAATAGGCTACCTGTTCCAGAGTTGTAGGCTTGGCCAATGTTTGTGTTAACATTTTTGAATATCAGGGTGGTGTCAGTATTAAAGGGCCCTCTATTTTGAGCTGATGCAGGTGGGAAGAGTGATGCTGAGAACGCCACCTTAAGTCTCGCTGTGAAGAAACAGCATGTCAAATATTTCAAGAACACACACATACCACAACTGATTTAAATTAACTTCAGCTTTAGAAGTACCGGCCATTGGGGCATTTCACAATATTACAAAATGTAGCAAGAACACCATCATATCGTGCTCAGTCACTCACTCACCATCACTTGCCTTCTCCAGATGTTCCACTTTGGCGCTAAGTTCTCTCAGCACAGTGTAGATGTCCGATTGGGAGCCGGTTAGGCCTCGCGCCCCAGACAGACTGCAGAAGGCCAGCAACAGAACACAGACTGACTCCATCTCTTAATGTCACGAGAATTTCTATCTCAATGTTCAAACTGAACTATTTTATATCTCTGTCTGAGTCCTGAAGGTTGTAAAACTCCAGTTCAATGAATCAGACAGAGTCCCAACATACAATAATCAGTCTTTATTCAGAGAGAGCTCCGAAAATCATACAATGCACAATGTATTTTATACCTCTACTACGCCCCTAAGTGAGCCAATAAGAAAGCTCCTAGTCAGCCTTAGCCACTATCATATTCTTCTTGCAAGCTCACACAACAGCCTTTACTTTCCTCTGCAAGCTCACGCAACAGCCTTTACTTTCCTCTGCAAGCTCACGCAACAGCCTTTACTTTCCTCTGCAAGCTCACGCAACAGCCTTTACTTTCCTCTGCAAGCTCACGCAACAGCCTTTACTTTCCTCTGCAAGCTCACGCAACAGCCTTTACTTTCCTCTGCAAGCTCACACAACAGCCTTTACTTTCCTCTGCAAGCTCACACAACAGCCTTTACTTTCCTCTGCAAGCTCACACAACAGCCTTTACTTTCCTCTGCAAGCTCACACAACAGCCTTTACTTTCCTCTGCAAGCTCACACAACAGCCTTTACTTTCCTCTGCAAGCTCACGCAACAGCCTTTACTTTCCTCTGCAAGCTCACACAACAGCCTTTACTTTCCTCTGCAAGCTCACGCAACAGCCTTTACTTTCCTCTGCAAGCTCACACAACAGCCTTTACTTTCCTCTGCAAGCTCACACAACAGCCTTTACTTTCCTCTGCAAGCTCACACAACAGCCTTTACTTTCCTCTGCAAGCTCACACAACAGCCTTTACTTTCCTCTGCAAGCTCACACAACAGCCTTTACTTTCCTCTGCAAGCTCACACAACAGCCTTTACTTTCCTCTGCAAGCTCACACAACAGCCTTTACTTTCCTCTGCAAGCTCACACAACAGCCTTTACTTTCCTCTGCAAGCTCACACAACAGCCTTTACTTTCCTCTGCAAGCTCACACAACAGCCTTTACTTTCCTCTGCAAGCTCACGCAACAGCCTTTACTTTCCTCTGCAAGCTCACGCAACAGCCTTTACTTTCCTCTGCAAGCTCACACAACAGCCTTTACTTTCCTCTGCAAGCTCACGCAACAGCCTTTACTTTCCTCTTGTAGCTATTTCACCCCTACTCAGACTTCCATTACTGGTTTTACAAGACACAAGTACTCTGTTTTTGGGCAAATATGCATCTTATACAAGCAAATATGATTAACTCTCTAAGCTCTCTTACTGTCCTCACCCTATGCAGATATTTGTAAGGATACAAGTAAGTGTTTTTGGCCTGTGTCCCCACCCCGAGCCATTGGAATCCTCACTGGTCATTACAAATATTAACCATATTACGAGAAGGAAGTTAACCACAGAAAAACTAAGTGCCCATCTTAATCTTTTATTTTTATTGGCCAGTCTGAGATATGCTTTATCTTGGCCAGGTCGCAGTTGTAAATGAGAACTTGTTTGCCCTGTTCTGTGAAGAGTAGTACACAGCGTTGTACGAGATCTTCAGTTTCTTGGCAATTTCTCGCTTGGAATAGCCTTCATTTCTCAGAACAAGAATAGACTGACGAGTTTCAGAAGAAAGTTATTTGTTTCTGGACATTTTGATCCTCTAATCGAAACCCCAATTGCTGATGCTCCAGATACTCAACTAGTCTAGATCCTCAACTAGTCTCAAGAAGGACAGTTTTATTGCTTCTTTAAATCAGCACAACAGTTTTCAGCTGTGCTAACATAATTGCAAAAGGGGTTTCTAATGATCAATTAGCCTTTTAAAATGATAAACTTGGATTAGCAAACACAACGTGCCATTGGAACACAGGACTGATGGTTGCTGATAATGGGCCTCTGTACGCCTATGTAGATATTCCATAAAAGAATCTGCCGTTTCCAACTACAATAGCCATTTACAACATTAACAATGTCTACACTGTATTTCTGATCAATTTGATGTTATTTTAATGGAACAAAAAATTGTTTTCTTTCAAAAACAAGGACATTTCTAAGTGACCCCAAACTTTTGAACGGTAGTGTGTGTGTGTGTGTATATATACAGTGGGGAGAACAAGTATTTGATACACTGCCGATTTTGCAGGTTTTCCTACTTACAAAGCATGTAGAGGTCTGTAATTTTTATCATAGGTACACTTCAACTGTGAGAGACGGAATCTAAAACAAAAATCCAGAAAATCACATTGTATGATTTAAGTAATTAATTTGCATTTCATTGCATGCCATAAGTATTTGATCACCTACCAACCAGTAAGAATTCCGGCTCTCACAGACCTGTTAGTTTTTCTTTAAGAAGCCCTCCTGTTCTCCACTCATTACCTGTATTAACTGCACCTGTTTGAACTCGTTACCTGTATAAAAGACACCTGTCCACACACTCAATCAAACAGACTCCAACCTCTCCACAATGGCCAAGACCAGAGAGCTGTGTAAGGACATCAGGGATAAAATTGTAGACCTGCACAAGGCTGGGATGGGCTACAGGACAATAGGCAAGCAGCTTGGTGAGAAGGCAACAACTCTTGGCGCAATTATTAGAAAATGGAAGAAGTTCAAGATGACGGTCATCACCCTCGGTCTGGGGCTCCATGCAAGATCTCACCTCGTGGGGCATCAATGATCATGAGGAAGGTGAGAGATCAGCCCAGAACTACACGGCAGGACCTGGTCAATGACCTGAAGAGAGCTGGGACAACAGTCTCAAAGAAAACCATTAGTAACACACTACGCCGTCATGGATTAAAATCCTGCAGCGCACGCAAGGTCCCCCTGCTCAAGCCAGCGCATGTCCAGGCCCGTCTGAAGTTTGCCAATGACCATCTGGATGATCCAGAGGAGGAATGGGAGAAGGTAATGTGGTCTGAGGAGACAAAAATAGAGCTTTTTGGTCTAAACTCCACTCGCCGTGTTTGGAGGAAGAAGAAGGATGAGTACAACCCCAAGAACACCATCCCAACCGTGAAGTATGGAGGTGGAAACATCATTCTTTGGGGATGCTTTTCTGCAAAGGGGACAGGACGACTGTACCGTATTGAGGGGAGGATGGATGGGGCCATGTATCGCGAGATCTTGGCCAACAACCTCCTTCCCTCAGTAAGAGCATTAAAGATCGACCCGAAACACACAGCCAGGGCAACTAAGGAGTGGCTCCGTAAGAAGCATATCAAGGTCCTGGAGTGGCCTAGCCAGTCTCCAGACCTGAACCCAATAGAAAATCGTTGGAGGGAGCTGAAAGTCTGTATTGCCCAGCGACAGCCCCGAAACCTGAAGGATCTGGAGAAGGTCTGTATGGAGGAGTGGGCCAAAATCCCTGCTGCAGTGTGTGCAAACCTGGTCAAGACCTACAGGAAACGTATGATCTCTGTAATTGCAAACAAAGGTTTCTGTACCAAATATTAAGTTCTGCTTTTCTGGTGTATCAAATAGTTATGTCATGCAATAAAATGCAAATTAATTACTTAAAAATCATACAATGTGATTTTCTGGATTTTTGTTTTAGATTCCGTCTCTCACAGTTGAAGTGTACCTATGATAAAAATTACTGACCTCTACATGCTTTGTAAGTAGGAAAACCTGCAAAATCGGCAGTGTATCAAATACTTGTTCTCCCCACTGTATGTATGTATGTATGTATGTATGTACAGTGAGGGAAAAAAGTATTTGATCCCCTGCTGATTTTGTTCGTCTGCCCACTGACAAAGAAATGATCAGTCTATAATTTTAATGGTAGGTTTATTTGAACAGTGAGAGACAGAATAACAACAACAAAAAACAGAAAAACGCATGTCAAAAATGTTATAAATTGATTTGCATTTTAATGAGGGGAATAAGTATTTGACCCACTCTCAATCAGAAAGATTTCTGGCTCCCTGTCACGATCGTTACATGATGAAGCGGACCAAGGCGCAGCGTGATATGCGTACATTCCTTTATTGCAGTACACAACACGAACCAAAACAACAAAACAAACGATACGTGAAGTCCTGGGTTGAACACAAACCTTCCAGAACAAGATCCCACAATAAACATGTGCCAACAGGCTGCCTAAGTATGGATCCCAATCAGAGACAACAAGCTACAGCTGCCTCTGATTGGGAACCACCCTGGCCAACATAGATATACACGAACTAGAACACAAACCTAGAAAACTAAACAATGAAACCTACACACCCTGGCTCAACATATAAGAGTCCCCAGAGCCAGGGTGTGACACTCCCAGGTGTCTTTTATACAGGTAACGAGCTGAGATTAGGAGCACACTCTTAAAGGGAGTGCTCCTAATCTCAGTTTGTTACCTGTATAAATGACACCTGTCCACAGAAGCATTCAATCAATCAGATTCCAAACTCTCCACCATGGCCAAGACCAAAGAGCTCTCCAAGGATGTCAGGGACAAGATTTTAGACCTAAACAAGGCTGGAATGGGCTACAAGACCATCGCCAAGCAGCTTGGTGAGAAGGTGACAACAGTTGGTGCGATTATTTGCAAATGGAAGAAACACAAAAGAACTGTCAATCTCCCTCAGCCTTGGGCTCCATGCAAGATCTCACCTCGTGGAGTTGCAATGATCATGAGAACGGTGAGGAATCAGCCCAGAACTACACGGGAGGATCTTGTCAATGATCAAGGCAGCTGGGACCATAGTCACCAAGAAAACAATTGGTAACACACTACGCCGTGAAGGACTGAAATCCTGCAGCGCCCACAAGGTCCCCCTTCTCAAGAAAGCACATATACATGCCCGTCTGAAGTTTGCCAATGAACATCTGAATAATTCAGAGGAGAACTGGATGAAAGTGTTGTGGTCAGATGAGACCAAAATCGAGCTCTTTGGCATCAACTCAACTCGCCGTGTTTGGAGGAGGAGGAATGCTGCCTATGACCCCAAGAACACCATCCCCACTGTCAAACATGGAGGTGGAAACATTATGCTTTGGGGGTGTTTTTCTGCTAA